TGAGACGTACATACACCTACCTGCTGCTGTTGCTGCTGCTGCAGGATGTGTTTCTTCTGTTGCTGCTCTATACGACCTGTAGCGATTGCCGCCGCTGCTGCTGCTGCCGCTGCTGCTGCTGCGGCCAGGGAAGCTTGAGGTGTACGTCGGCTGCAGCATCGAAGGACTAAAGAAGCAGCAGAGTGTTTGCAGGTCTTTTTTGCTGCTGCTGCTGCTGTCAGCAGCAAATTAGACAAGCATATAAAAACCCTTTTTTAATTGTCTTTGGTCTTTTGCTGCTCTATTGCTGCTGCTGTTGCTGCTGCTACAGCAGCTGCTGCGGCTGCTGTAGCGATGGCCGCAGCAGTTCGGCGCAGAAGGCTGCAGCGGTGGCAGCACCATACCGATCCTTCTGCTGCTGCTGCTGCAGTTGCTGCAGTTGCTGCTCAAATAAATACTGTTTATGCGTTTTTATTTAATTGTTGGGTGTATTTACACTAAAACTAAATAATAAAACAAATATTTCTCTTTATATCTATCCCCTAGTTATTCATATGATGAGCTGCCTATACACCGCAGCAGCTCGCCGGCCTAGACTCGGCAGCAGCTGCAGCAGCGGCGGCGGCTGCAGGCCTTATTTGCGGTCTCTTGCTGCAGCAAAAAGGGGTTTATTGAACTAAAGACAATAATAATTAAGACAAAAAGAATTAAGTTGTTATAGTTAATAAATGTCTTCCTTAAGGGAGCAAAAATAGAAGAAGTTGCCTGTGGCTGTACACCCCGTCGGCTGCAGGTGCTTACACACATCAGAAAACCATTGGTCTTCTATGTCTGTTCTTGTCATTTTTATCCCTTTTTTATGAATAAATTAGGTCATTTTACTAATTAAATGAAAATTTAATTAAATTACAATTAAAAAAACCTAAACATGACACCTAATGGCGTAGACACAACCCCCGTAGCTACCTATACACCCCAATAACTTATTGTGCACAGACACTCCAGTGCCTTCCTCCACAACCAACAGCAGCGGGAGCATCTGCAGCAGCAGCAACAGCAGTACGGGGTGTCTGTACACCCCGCGCCTTAGACACGAGTTGTTGCCCTTAAAGCCCCGCAGCAATTTGCTGTTAACCTCAAGCATTGAATGCTGCTGCAGCTGCTGCTGCGCTGCAGCAACGGGTGTTGCTGCTGTTGCAGTAGTTGTTGTTGCTGCTGCTGCTATAAAAGACCGAGACAGGAAGCTATATATCTGCTTCCTTCTTGTCCTTATTATTCATCTTTTATGCTTTTTATCTTATAAAAGATTTATTTATTTATTTATTTTGCATGCAAACAGCAATAAAGAATTAATAAAAATTAAATACATTAAGTGCTAAACCCTAAACCCTAAACCCTAAGCCCTAAACTGCCAGTTTGCGCGTTAGCTGCCTCTCTCCGTCTGCTTCTACACGCTTAAAACCCTAAACCCTAAACCCTAAACCGCGAACCCTAAACCCTAAACCGCGAACCCTAAACCCTAAACCCTAAACTGCGAACCCTAAACCCTAAACCCTCCTATGAGGCTAAATGATTCTCTGCAACTAAAATATAATACTCTTTTCCTCTTTTCTTTCTGTTCTCTCTCTCTCTCTCCCTCTTTATTTCTTTTTATTCTTTTTTTTCCTCTTTTTTTATTTCTTCCTTTTTTTATGTTTTATAGTTTTTATAAATCGGCCTTAAATTCAGTTGTCAAAAAGGCAAAACGAATTCGGAACCCAAACCCTAAACCCTAAACCCTAAACCCTAAACCCTAAACCCTAGACAGTTAATTCCTCCTACATTCCCGATCTTTCCCGCGGTGCGCAGCGAATGATATCATCCACACGAATGATCTGCAACACAAACCTCAAACCCTAAACCCTAAACCCTAAAATCTAAACCCTAAAAACCCTAAACCCTAAACCCTAAAAATCCTAAACCCTAAACCCTAAACCCTGAAGAATGCTTACCATTTCTGCTGCTTCTGCAGCGAAGCATAACTGTGATAATTTACTCTTATAAGCCTCTAATACCCCTTTTTCTTTTGCATCTACTGTCCCTCCTTCTCCATCTACACAAACCCCCATGTTATGTTTACCAGCATGATGTAATGCACGTAACTCTGATACAATCTGTGCACTATCCAAACCTATACATATATGACACACAAACCCTAAACCCTAAACCCTAAACCCTAAACCCTAAAATCCAAACCCTAAACCCTAAAACCTAAACCCTAAAAACTAAACTATTGAGCACAAACACTAAAATATAAACCCTAGAACATAAACCCTTATCTTCAAAGTATAAGACACAAAACCCTTGATACTCCCCTCAGGCTGGCCAGCACAAACCCTCAAACCCTAAACCCTAAACCCTAATTACTAGATATGCAAATCCTCACCTGCGTTATCAACAATGATGGTGGGAATTTGGCGGAGGGCTCGCGCGAAACCCTCAATAGCCAAACTCTGCACAAAACCCCAAGCCCTAAACCCTAAACCCTAAACCCTAGATAGTGCTCTAGAAGTGCCCCTTAAACATAAAAAAGACAGACCCTCTCCTCACAAAAAAAAAGAAGTAATTGGGGTTTGCGGTAGGGTTTAAGGTGGCTATACTTTCCGGTTCAAAAGGGTTTACAAGGCTTTATAAGGGTTTATGAGGGTTTATGAGGGTTTAGGGTTTATTATATACCTCTTTGCCTGGTACAGTCTTAGCTAGATCGGAGACTGCTGCCTCCATGGCCATTTCTGCTGCTCCTCCTCCGCTGACGAGCAGCAGCCGCTGCTCCTGTGAGGTAAGGATTCCTTCCGCCAGTCCTTCTCCTGCTGCTGTTGCTGTTGCTGCTGCTGCTACTGCTGCTTGCCGCTGCTGCTTACGCTGCTGCTGCTCCTGCAACACTAATTGAGATAATATTGCTAATGCGTCATGGAGGGACCTCTCTGCCTCATCAAGCCCTTGCTCGCTGCTGCCCCGCAGCACGACGGTGCATGCAGCACCTGCAGCAGCAACAGTGCAGCAGCAACAGTGCAGCAGCAAACCCTAAACCCTAATATATACCATTTATTCATAAACACTAAACATACCTAATAAACCCTAATACACAAGAAACCCTCACGTACACGCAGGATAACCAACGAACCCAAACACAGCAGCAGCAGAAGCAGCAACAGCAGCAGCAGCAGCAGAAGCAGCAGCAGCAACGAACCTTCTTTGCAGCCAGAGAATCTGATGGCAGTGTCATCTCCAATGACAATTTCCTCCATCTTTGCGCAAAAGCCAAGTGGCTTCTGAAGCACAAAACCCCAAACCCTAAACCCTAAACCCTAAACCCCAAACCCTAAACCCTAAACCCTAAACCCCAAACCCTAAACCCTAAACCCTCCTATATCACATCCCGGGACCCCACGAACCGCTGATCTCCGGTTAAAACCCCAATACAAAGAAGTGAAGTCGAAACCCTAGTAAACCCTAACTCTAATAACAAACCCTAAACCCTAAACCCTAAACCCTCGATAATGGGTATAGAGTCAACGTACCTCTGATGGATCATCAAAGGTAGATAAGATTTCTGCACCTAATGCTGCTGCTAATCTCTCCATACCATCAAAGTCTGAATGTTCAATTGCTGCTACACCTGCAGCCTTAAATAATTGATCAGGATAATTGTATATTAATTGACGATTTATAAATACGTCACATTTATATGCTAATATCTTCTCTACCTATACACCATAAACATACACAATATATACAAAACCCTAAACCCTAAACCCTTATAATTCAGATAAATATAAGAAACATGCAGAGACATGCATATTGATAAGCTTGCTTGCATGCATGCACGCATGCATGCACAGAGAAAGAGGCATACACACACTTCTCAAACACCCACACACCAACGTAAACACTAAACCCTAAACCCTAAACCCTAAACCCTAATAATAATACTTACCTTTTCCTTCATTTTTTCTTTCTCTGCTAACTCTAATTGATGAACAGCCTCAAAGGAATCAACCTTAACCCTCGCGCCAAATATTTTTATTTTATCTGTATCCATAGGAGTGTTTGCCACCATTACCTGCATGCATATATAAACCCTAAACCCTAAACCCTAAACCCTAAACCCTAAATTTTGATATCTGGGTATATTACACAATCAAGGCACCAACACGTACACACACGTGAATGGACTGCCATCCTCGCCAAACCCTAAACCCTAAACCCTTGCTTACCTTGCAGTTTTCCTTGACCTTGGGTTGTCCAACACCTAAAACCACCGCAAAGAAAAAAAAGAATGTAACCGCATGCATGTATTTCCATTTTTTTGGGGTTTGCTTGCACACTACATGTATGCATGCATGCATACATGCATACTTGAATGCATGCATGCATGCATGCAAGAAAAAAAAAAAAAAAAAAAAAAAAAAAAAAAAAAAAAAAAATCTTACCGATTTTTTTTTCTAGTATAAATCCATCATCTAAGAAAGAATCCTTTAGACATCCTCCTGGTTTTTTTAAGATATGAATTAAATCTAAAGAAGCGGCATTCTCTCGTAGACGGAGGATCGCGTCTACCGCTATATTTGCAAAATGTTCCTATACATATATATAGCATAAACCCTAAACCCTAAACCCTTAGAAACCCTTAGAAACCCTTAGAAACCCTAAACCCTTAGAAACCCTAAACCCTGAAACTAGTACTAATGGCAAAGGGAAATTAGATGGTGCATATTATGTAAGCCAATGCGGCATATAAAACCCCTATAAAGAATTGCGGTGTCTAGGGTTTACGAGTAGGGTTTGGGGTGAATAGAGGAAGGGTTTATAGATTAGGGTTTAGGGTTTACTTTATCTGATGGGAGGAGTTTAGAGGAAAGGGTTGTCCTTGCAACATTAAGAAGAGCAGTACGTAAACCCTCCTCTGTTGCTACATCAAAGGCAACAGCAGCAAGCTTCTTTCTTGCTGCTGCTGCTGCTTTCCTGTATCCGCTTATGATTGTCTGCAACCCCACACAGCAGCACCACAGCAAAAAAAAGAAGGGTTTAGGGTTTAGGGTTTACTGAGGTATTCAGGCTAAGTCGCAGTGTAGTATAAATAACGTGCAAACAAACAAACCTACTAAACCCTCCACAAACCCTAAACCCTAAACCCTAACCTGTGGGTGTATATTTTTCTCTACAAGTTGCTCTGCCTCGCGCAGCAACTCTGCAGCTAACACGACGACGCCTGTTGTACCATCGCCGCAAACCATATCTTGCTGCAGCGCCAAATCTGCAGCAGCAGCAGCAGCAGCAGCAGGAGCACAAGCAGCAGCAGCAGGAGCACAAGCAGCAGCAGCAGGAGGTGGATGACAAGAAGCAACAGTGACGAAGGAGAGGAAGAAGAAATGCCTAAATCCTCAAAACCCCCGACCTGATAAACCCTAAACCCTAAACCCTCGGAGCTCAACGAATGCGGCAGCAAGAATCCATAAACCCCTTAAACCCTAAACCCTCGGGGCTCTGTGGATACAGTAAGAATCCCCCCACCCATTAAACCCTAAACCCTAAACCCTAAACCCTAACCTGCAAGAATTTTAGCAGCTGGGTTATCTAGCCAAACACTCTTGAGTATAGTAGCACCATCATTAGTTACTGTTGGTCCTTCTCTTCTTGCTGCCTCCAATTGCATAGGCTGAAGGATTTTATCTAAACCCTTAGGGCCTAGGGTTGCCTTGACCAGGTCCCCTACTGCTATTGCACCTACAAAATATTGCTAAATAAACACCAGCAGCAGCAGCAGCAGCAGCAAGAGCAACAGCAACAGCAGCAGGAGGAGAAGCAGCAGCAGCAGAAAAAACAAAGAAAAACGAATATATCCTCCCTTTTTTATTGCTATAGGTACTTCTCTTGTACATACACCCTATATACACACGACACTAGCTAGCTAAATAGCTAGCTTGTTAGGCAGCTAGCTAGCTAGCTAGCCAGCTAAATAGCTAGTTAGCTAGTTAGCTAGTTAGTAGATAGATAGCTGATGAGGATATCCGCTAACTATACAGACAGTCAAGACATTATTCAGTACACAGAGACGGGGAGCAACAGGGCACGGAGGAGACAAACCCTAAACCCTAAACCCTAAACCCTAAGAAGCTCACAAGACGCGCGGTGTCTCCCTTATCCTCCTGAGCCCCATCCTTTAGGACAGCCGGTCCCACCTCCCCTTGCTGCATCACACGCAAACGCTAAACCCTAAACCCTAAACCCTAAACCCTTAAGAAACCCTCGACCTCTCTGGTAGCCCTACACCACCAACAACACCTCCAAAACCCGCCGATCAAAACAATGGGTACAACAGCGTCAGGACTTCGCTAAACCCTAAACCCTAAACCCTAAACACTAAACCCTAAACCCTGCACCAAGTCCTCGTAGTCAAACCCCACAGGCCCCCTAGATGCCCGCAACTCTTCTGTTAGAGGCATAAGATAAAATAAAATCGTCAACAACCCTTTTAAATAAAAGAGGGGTTTAGTGCTACTACTACTCTCTCTCGGGGCTGGGTCTGAGGGTTTAGGGTTTAGGGTTTAGAGGTTGGAAGTGAAGACGCACCATCATTTTTGCGTGTGAATTGGAAAAGGAGAGAAGAAAAGAGAAGGAAACAAATTCAAGGTTTTACAAATATACCTCACAAACCCTAAACCCTAAACCCTAAACCATAAGACCCCAGACACATCATACATGCACAGCACAACGGCTGCTGTTGGTGTTGTCATACATAACCGCCGCCCCGCCTGCGGCCGCTGCAGCAGCCCCAGTTGCTGCTGCTGCATGATAAATGAGCTACAGCAATCAAATATAAGATATTCATTGAATATTAAGAGAAATTAATCTAAAAAGAAAAGAGTTATACTCGTGTTTGCCTAAAAACACGACAACAACAACCCTTCAAGCTGTGCTGACACCCCGATGGCTGCTTCGGTGGCGGCTGGTTGGTGACACAGACAGCTCTTCTTTGTGTTTGTTTTCTTTCTTATTTTGTCTATTTATTGAATATTGTTGTGAATATTATATTTTACGTTCTGAAGTCTTGAATCATCAAGTTCTTCGCCATCGTATTCGTAGTGTACGTACACCTCAGCTCGCTCGCCGCAGTACGACGCGCCGTATACAGTATTACCGCGTCGTGCGGTATACAACAGTTCCTTCTGCAGATCCTTCTTCAAAGTATTTTTATTCTTTAATTTTGTTTGTTTTCTTTTTTATATAATTAAAATAAAATGGCGGACTCAGTTGATTACTACAGCCTCGAAGGAGGCCGCAAAGTTGCCGCCGAAGAGGCGGACTTTCGCAAGGAAATCCGTCAGGGTTTCATCAGGTATGTTCAATAAGAAAGCAACAACTATAAAGAATAAAAATAATGGCAATAAATAGTACTCAATAGAATAAAAGAGGAGAAGAGAGAAGGGACTTTGAGCAGGCAGACAGAGCACCAGATCTTCATAAGCGGAGCACACACATAAACACACACGCACTAGAAAGTCTAACGACTTTTCAGGGTTTAGGGTTTAGGGTTTAGGGTTTATGGTTTGTGTATACAGGAAGGTGTACGGCATCGTAGCTCTGCAGATGCTGCTTACGACGACCGTTGCTTCTCTTCTTCTCTTTGTTCCTGGAGGTGTAGAATGGGCTAAACATAGCAGCAGTCTTGTTGTTACTCTTTCCTCAGGTACGTTATATATATAATATATAATATAATAATATAATTAATATAGTATATAATATATACACCTTATTTATCTGCATATTTACAGAGAAGAGTTATTATGTTGTACAATAGAATATTTAGTATAGATATTCACAATTAAGGGTTTATTAGGGTTTACTAGGGTTTACTAGGGTTTACTAGGGTTTAGGGTTTAGGGTTTGTGTGTGTGTGTGTGTGTGTTTTATTTTTCTGCAGTATTTATGGTTGTTTCTTCGTTAGTATTGATGTGCTCACGTGCTCGTTATATTTATCCTTATAATTATTTATTATTATTAACATTTACTATAACAGAGGCCTTATTAGTAGGTATATTATGCGCATTTTATAAGTTATCTTCTGTTGCTTTTTGCCTAGGAGGTGCATTATTAATAAGTATTTGTTTATCCTTATTTGCTTACCAGACTAAGCATGATTATACATCTTATATAGGTATATTATTTATATTAGGTATAAATTTATTTATATTAAGTATATTCTCTTTTCTTATGAATACATGGATGCAAGCTATTTATTCCTTTTTATCCCTTTTATTCTTCTCTTTTTATCTTATTATAGATACACAACTTATAATAAAAAGAGGAGATGTAAGGATAGAAGAAGATGATTATATTGTTGCTGCTGTTATGATTTATATTGATGTTATTAATATCTTTATTAGTCTACTTAGGTTATTTGGGGAAAGATCTGAATAAATATATAAATATAATTAAATATATAAATATTTATTTATTTATTTATTTATTATCTTAATATTCAGGTGTACGTGCACCTGCCGTTTATGAAGGGAAAGCAATGCATGCATATTTGCGGTCCATGGATCTGCGCATACACCACAAATTACGTTTTAATTAATTATTAATAATTGTAATTATATTATTATTATTATTATTATTATTATTATTATTATTATTCAATTATATTCTTTCTGTGTATAGGCATATAAACAGCACATATGTATTGTGCTGTTTATATGCGTTATATCTATTGGGGTGTACGTACACCTCAGCAACAACAACTTTTTCCCTTCATTAGGGACTCTTCAATTTTTTAGTAAAAAAAGAAGAAGAAAAGCCCTTATTTTCCTTATAAAGAGAGAGAGAGTAGACAGATGTAGGACCCCCCTTATAAATTGAGTTAAGAGTATTAGTAGCTTATATATGATTGTTTATTTATGCGTAAGGAACCTCTATATACACCTCAGTATACACACCAATGTACGTACACCTTAATATGCATAAACATTAGTATACACCTGCTTCGTTGCCATAGTAATAAGAATAGGCTACCTCCTTTTGCATGCATGCAGTTGTTGCATACTTGCATGAATAATATGAATAATATATACACTGTATATCTTATCCTCAGTACCATCAGCAGCAGCAGCAGCAGCAGTATTCAATTTCTGCAGCACCTTATTGTTCCCCTTATTCTTCTTTATTCCTGCTCTTTTCTCTCCTCTTATTCCTCTCACGGGGTGTATAGGCATCTCATGCTAAGGAGAGGGAAGGAATATACATATTTATATGTAGTTGTCTTTGTATATGTTTGTTACTATAAGAAGGCATAACATGTAATAAGACAATAGGGTGTTAAGGAAAGGAAAAAAAGGAGAAAAAGATTTCTTTTTATACGCCAAGAAAGGAGATAATAGCTTGCTTCTCCTTATTATGTAGGCATAGAGGGTAGGCATAGAGCATAAATGCATGCGCTAAGGGAGAGAAGAAGGTTTATAATGTGTATTCACCTCTCCTTGCTGCACGTAGTGGTGTACAAGAAAAAAGTCCAGCATACATGAATATTCAAGGGTTTCTTGCTGCATGCATGCACTAACACGCTACATAACTGTTCTGTACTCTTCCTACAGTGCAGAAGTTTAGTGTTTAGGGTTTAGTGTTTAGGGTTTAGGATGTCTATTGAGGCAAAGCAAGGGGTAATCTTAATGAGTATACAACTGTGTAAACCCTAGAGGCAATAAAAAAAGACGTCAGCTGCCTCTGCTTACCCAACAACAGGGGGAACTTTTGTCCATTCCCTTTTATCAATTTTATATATTTTTTTATCTCTTTTTTGTAGGGTTTCAAGAAGGTAATTACCCAACGTGTAAGCGAATGAATGCCCATGTTCATGATGCACTAAGGAGGGTGAGTACAACATGCGCAAGGCGCATGCAGGAGGAAAAGAAGGCGAATAATTCATAAAATCCAATTTATTATTTATTAGATAATTATTTTCAATGAAATCATTTCCTTTTTATTTACTTTGAGATGCACATAGAAGACCGGCGGTCATTGCAGACACCCGCCTAGGGGCTTGCATTGTTCCCCTGGCTCGCTCGATACGTCCGATGCAGGAAGCAAAGTTCACTTTTTTTTGTTTTCCTTTCTTGTCAAATATATAATTAACGGTGAATACGACAAATTACTTTCAATTCATTGAACACAACAGGAGAAGACACAAACAACCCTTTCGGGCGGGGTTCCCGTCCTTGGGAGTGCTTGCGCTGAGCGGGGGCGCTGCTCGCTTTGTGGGGAACGTTGTTGTACAAGTTGTGAGCTTTTCCCATCTTTTTGTTATTTAATTACATATATTACTTGTTTTATATCTAGTCTCGGTAAATCTTTTTATTTTAAGTCGTTTCAAGACCTAGTACACGGCCCTTGTCGCGGATCCGCAGTGGATGCACGTACAGACGAGCCTTGAATTTAATGATTTGCTTCTTATCCACATGAAAAGAGAAGGTTCCTTCACTTTATTCCCGTTGTAAATTATTATTTGTTTAGTTTATCCGCTGCTTCCGCCCCCTCCTTCCTAGGGAGCATTCAACCAGGCAGCACTGCTACCTGTCCTACAGTTGCAGGGGCCGCCTCTCTCCTGATCGTGTATATTTGACCCATTCATTTTCTTGCTTTTTCACATAAGAAAAAATAGATATATGTTCTTCTTTCGATTATTTTTGGGTCCTGATCTTCGCACGTGCTTTTCCCATTTGTCATCATTTGTTGTACCTGCGTTTGCCTCTCTTCTAACGCGTTTTTAACCTTTCTGTCGTAGTGATACATTATTCCCTGCTCTTGAATATATATATTCCGTAGCAGGAAGAGCAGCTAGAGCTGCAAGAACAGGCGTCGCTGCAGCAGTATTAGCAAAGCAGCAGCAACATCGCAAGACACAACAGCAGCAGAAGCCGCAGCAGCATCATCAGCAGCTACAGCAGCAGAAGCAGCTGCTTTTTTGTTAGAAGGTTCCCCATATTTTTGTGCTTTTACAAAGACGAAGGCAAAAGCAGATGCATAATGCGAGAGCCCTTACTTAGCAGGTTGGGGGGCCTGCTGATGATCGGGCTGCATATGCGACGGCTGCTGCTGCTGCTTCTGCTGCTTCAGCAGGTACTGGCACTGGCTTTTGTTGAAGGTGCTGCGACATCAACAATGTCTATTCCATTTAAGGAGAATGAGGTGTACGGACACCCAAGTGTAGATGGTGCAGTGCAAGTGGATAGCTGGGGCCCCCAAGACGGGGAACTCTCTGGGGGGCCCCCGGTGAATAGCAACAACAGCAAAAGTAGAGGCAATTTGAATCGCTTGGAGAATATGTTTCCCCGTAGAGGAATGGCAGGCACACGAACAGTAACAGGAAGACCAGCTCCCGCTACACTTGTTGCTGCTGTTGCTGCTGCCATCTTTGCTGTTGTTTTTCTCCTGCTGTCTTGCGGAGTATCCATCTCCCACAACCTTAGAGCCCCTCCTTCTTGGGGTCTTATAAGGCGCCTCGCCGCCGCGGATGACAAAGGGCCGTGTAGACCGACTGCAGCAGCAGAAGAAGAAGAAGAAGAAGCAAGCGCAACAGCAACAGAAGAAGAAGACGAAAGAGAAGAAACGACACCAGTCCCTAGTATTTCCCCGTTTGGATCAGGATCTCTTCTCGATCCGCTAGCCAACCCTTTTGTCCCTCGATTGCCCTTCACTGAATCGGATGCTGGTAGTGGCGCAAGAAGAGAGGAGGACAGGGGTAAATATGCGGAACCTTTTGCAGAGGGGGAGGGGGCATCCAGAGGGTCTGCAGCTGCACAAGCAACAGGAACAGCAGGACAAGCAAAAGAAACAGGCGCACGAAGGAAAACAGGACGCCCACGTGGTTCAACTACCTCAATAGACACCCCCTTTCTAGATCCGTTGGCAACACCCTTCACCCCCGGAGTTTCTGAGAAAGGAGGAATTAGGGGTGAAGTTGAATCACTGTGGAAGTTGTGGGAAACGACTGCTTCCCCTTTATGGGGAACAGCTCCCTCTGCAACGGAGAGGGGGGCACAAAGCCCCACAGCAACATCAATATGGACAGAGGATGACACAACAGGAGACCGTATCAGTGTCTATGATTTAGACGAGGCGGAGGAATGGCAGGTGCTGCTACAGCAACTGGAGCAGCAGATACGAGAAACACGAGAGGTGCAGGGGGACCGGCCACCGCAACGGGTGAAGCAACCATCAACTGCAGCAGCCAGGCCAGCAGCAACAGCAACAGCAACAGCAGCAGCAGCAGCAACCCCTCAACCTGGAGCTACTGCTGATCCTCTGCATGATTCTACAACGGACATGTTTTGGAAGGTGTACAAGGAAGTCAGCAGTTTGCCGAGGCCAACCAGAGGTCCAGCAACAGAGGACGAGGCATATGAAGACACAGAAAAAGAAACTAGTAGTTTGTCAGGTTTAGAAGGAACAGAAACAGACAGCAGAGGAGGAACCTCGGGTGATGAAGCGTCAGCAGAAGACACAGAGGATGATTTGCAGTCAAAAGGAGAAAGCGACCGCGGCGGCGGATGGACAGAGCCACGGAGGCAAATATTTCAAGTAGCTGCTCCAGGTTTACCTTGGATTGGATATGCAGACGAAACGGGATTGTTTCAGCACTTCCCACCGTTGGCAGGGCCCCCAGGAGTGTTGGATATCCCATCGAATGTTGCACCGGGCCCTTCCACCAGGATAAAAACTGCACCATCAGCAGCAGCAGCAGTATCACATACAGCACAAAGTGCAGCGGAAAAACAGGTAGCAGGAGCAGAAGGAGCAGCAAAATCAGGGAGACAAGGGACAACAGCCGCAGGAACCTCAGGAGTAGCAGGAGCCACAGCAGCGAGAAGCGATGATGATGATGATGATGATGAAGGGGATGCCCCAGGCAGAGGGGATGCCCCAGACAGAGGGGAAGAGACCATTACTGCAGAGGATACGGAACGTGAAGACTTCGTAAGGGCGATTGCTCGGGAGGCACGCAGGCACGGGTTAAATCGGGGACCGGTGCCCAAACTATGGCCAGGGAACCTGAAGAAGACGATACCGCCCTCTACGTCTTTGACTTCGTTATTTTTGCGTTTTTCCGAGCTGGCAGAGTACTGCCGGATGTATATACACCGGCTGCCTCGGAAGCTTGCTCGGGGGGTTGTGACACGGCTCATGAGACATATTGTGGTAGAAATCTCAGCTCTGACTCCTTTGTGTTCTCCCGAGGATGAGCATCGGCGAACTGCCGTCTTGAAGGCTTTCTTCAGTCTCGGCAAGAGTGTTGGAGGTCGTCCACAGAGGAAGCCAGTGGATGCTTGCTTTCTAGATCGGACCATGGCAATGGTGGAGGATCTACAGCAGCTTCCAAAGAAATATAAAACAGAAGAAAAATACAAAAGCCACGGCATGCACAACACTTTGCCTGCAAGTGCAGCAGCGCTGCGCCATGTAGCTCGTTGTATTAACATGATGCTCCAGAGCTTGGATGTGTCAGGAGAACTCGACATGGCAACCTCTAACATTGGTGGAAAAACTATTGGTGCTGTTACTCGTGAACGGACGTACCAAGTGCTGGCAGATACAGTTTCTGGGAGGCTGTTGCAACAACTGCAGGCCAGCGTAGCCCCATTCAGCATGGCCAGTAGGAGAGATTTACGTCACGCAGAGCGCTCGTCTGAACGTTCAGGCGTTGAAAATGTCCTGCGCATTAATGAAGCAGCAGCGGCGGCGGCTAAACTTGCGGAAGCCACATATGCACCCGAGCGTGCAGGCCGTGGAGATCAGGTAGCTCTTCATTTCGATTCATCCTCGGAGGAAGAAGAAACTGGTCGTGATGATGATGGTGATGAGGATGATGATGGTGATGAGGATACAGGTGCTGCAGCTGCTGCCGCTCCTGCAGACCAAGAGAGCGGAGGAGACCCGCGTGACGGGAGAATCAGCCAACAACCTGACGGGGCGCCGCTGCAACAACAACAACAGCAGCAGCTCCAACACATGCTGCTCCTGCTGCCGACGCAGCGTCAGTTGCCCCAACAGCAAGACCTGCAGCATATGCAACATCAACATGAACACACGCAGCAACAGCTGCTAGGCCCGCAGGACATTCAGAGTGAGCAGTCCTCCCAGTACCCCCAGGACGTTTCGCAGCAGCCAGTGCCGCCCAGCGAACAGCAGCGGCGACAGCCGCTGCAGCATCAGTGGCTGCTGCAGCAACAGCTGCTAGGGCAGCATGCGCAGCAGCAGGTACAGAAGCAACTGCAGCAGCTAATGCCGCCTCCAGTGTTACAGCAACAAACGCAGCAGCCACGACTGCAACAGCAGCAGCAGCAACTCCTCTGGCAGGTGGTCCCTGGTGGGATTTTGGTGGGAGGGATGGAGAGGAAGAAAGTGCGGCCTCCTCCTGGTTTCCCACCCTTACCCACTGTAGATGTCTCTTCTCTTCTCACTTCTAAACCCTCCGTAGATATGTCTGCTCTTGTGTCTCCTAGCATTCTTTCGTCCAGCAGTAGCGCTCAAGGACTTGCACACAAAGATGGAGACGGAGACAGCTCCGGAGAGAGCAGCGGAGTATTTTTGGGTCCACATGCCACGACGCCGGCATCACTCGACGCAGGAAAAATGGAGACCCAGAGGCAATTGGAGCAGTTGCGATTACAGCTGCAGCAGCAGGAACTGCAACAGCAACGGCTGCTGTTGCAGCAGCAAGTGCTGCAGCAGCAACAGTTCCAGCAGCAACAGTTGCAACAGCAACAGTTGCAGCAGCAGCAGTTGCAGCTGCAGCAGTTGCGGCAGCAACAGTTGCAACAGCAACAGTTCCAGCAGCAGCAGTTCCACCGGCAGCAGTTGCAACAGCAACAGTTCCAGCAGCAACAGTTGCAACAGCAGCAGTTGCAACAGCAACAGTTGCAACAGCAACAGTTGCAACAGCAACAGTTGCAACAGCAACAGTTGCAACAGCAACAGTTGCAGCAGCAGCCGTTGCAGCAGCAGCCGTTGCAGCAGCAGCAGCCGTTGCAGCAGCAGCAGCAGTTGCAGCAGCAGCCGTTGCAGCAGCAGCCGTTGCAACAGCAACAGTTGCAACAGCAACAGTTGCAACAGCAACAGTTGCAACAGCAGCAGTTGCAACAGCAGCAGTTGCAACAGCAGCAGTTGCAGCAGCAACAGTTGCAGCAGCAGCCGTTGCAACAGCAACAGTTGCAGCAGCAACAGTTGCAACAGCAACAGTTGCAACAGCAACAGTTGCAGCAGCAACAGCTGCAACAGCAACAGTCGCAGCAGCAACAGTTCCAGCAGCAACAGTTGCAGCAGCAACAGTTGCAACAGCAACAGTTGCAACAGCAACAGTTGCAGCAGCAACAGTTGCAGCGGCAACAGATGCAGCAGCAACAGTTGCAACAGCAACAGTTGCAACAGCAACAGTCGCAGCAGCAACAGTTCCAGCAGCAACAGTTGCAGCAGCAACAGTTGCAACAGCAACAGTTGCAACAGAAGCAGTTGCAGCAGCAACAGTTGCAACAAGAACAATTGCAACAGAAGCAGTTGCAGCAGCAGCAGTTGCAGCAGAAGCAGTTGCAGCAGCAGCAGTTGCAACAGAAGCTGTTGCAGCAGCAGCAGTTGCAGCAGCAACAGTTGCAGCAGAAGCCGTTGCAGCAGCAACAGTTGCAGCAGCAACAGTTGCAGCAGAAGCAGTTGCAGCAGCAACAGTTGCAGCAGCAACAGTTGCAACAGAAGCAGTTGCAGCAGCAACAGTTGCAGCAACAGCAGTTGCAGCAGCAACAGTTGCAGCAGCCACAGTTGCAGCAGCAGGCGTCGCAGCAGCAGCAGTTGCAGCGGCAACAGTTGCAGCAGCAACAGTTGCAGCAGCAACAGTTGCAGCGGCAACAGTTGCAGCAGCAACAGTTGCAACAGCAACAGTTGCAGCAGCAACAGTTGCAACAGCAACAGTTGCAGCGGCAACAGTTGCAGCAGCAGCCGTCGCAGCAGGAGCAGTTGCAGCAGCAACAGTTGCAGCAGCAACAGTTGCAGCAGCAACAGTTGCAGCAACGGCAGCTACACCAGCAGGGACTGGTGCGAGGACCGTTCTGGCGGCCGAGGTTCAAGGGGCCGCAACAGCAGCATTTGTTACTGCAGCAGTCGGCGCAGCAATCAATGGCGCACAGGTCTCTAGTGGATGAGGAGGAGTTTCTGCTGCAAAGGCTGCAGAAGGTAAGGTTGCAGCTGCAAGGTTTGCGCCAGCAGCAGCAACAGATGCTGCAGAAGCTCGGTGTGCAACAGCTTCAGCATCAGTTGCTGCAAATGGAGACGCAACAGCAGCTCCTTGATATGTCTGCTTCCAGAGGCAGCAGCCAGTCTGATGTGGCCGCTATGGGACAGTTCAGAGGCTCTGGTCGTACAGAGCCTTTGGCACATGGAGGGGTACCAGGTGCGCTGCCGCCGCCGCAGCAGCAACAGTCTACTGCCACTGCTGCTGCTGCCTGGGGACAGGGAGGTTTTTCTGAGTCTGGAAGTCGGCTGTCAAGCGGGTCTTCTCTAACGGGGAGTGAAGCAGCAGGCTTGCAGCAACCGGTGGCTCCTACTCCTGGTACTCATTTTGCTCCCGCGGAAAGTATGTCGCTGGGCACGAGCCAAACGGTGTCTACTGTGGACAGCGTACCTCGAGGAGACGGACACGGATGGCAGGGAATGCAAGACCAGTCACGAGAAAATATTTGGAGATTTGATAGAGGCGCAGCCCCTTTCCCCCAAGGCGGTTTACCAGGATGGTTCACAGCCGACGCACAAACACTCCAAACACAGCGTAGTAGAAGCGGCTCCACACGGGCAGGAGCTGTACGTACACTGCAACTGCCGAGCACAACACCGGGCGGTGCAGGTGAATCAGGCCCGTATTTGCCAGGAACATCGTCAGACATTTCCAGGGAGGGCAGGGACTCCTCGCGTAGTTGAAGATAAAAGCGTTCCTTTCCAGCAGCAATAAAAAGGTCAATGACAAATGAAGTATGGAGGAAGTAAAACATGTCGAAAGCAAAGGACGAGCTCCGCAACGGAACAGTCAACTAGTGGCGAAAGGTTTCTAGCGACGATATCGTAGCAGACGTAGAAAATTCAAGCGAAGAGCAAATCAAAAAGGAACTAAACGCATGCCCAACAAACTAAATGACGGATATCTACATAAAAGGAGGAACGGATATATCAAGAACAGCAGACTGATGGACAGTGGGCAAGAGGGATTGCGCTGTGAGTGCAAACTGTATAAACAGATGATATAAAAGTGGAGGAGGGACGAAACTAAGAAGAACCAGCCAACTCTTTCGCCGCCACCAGCTACTTCCTCCTTTTGCTAGAATGGTGAAGAAGCGGCTGCAAATTCTGACTGTGCAGCGACAGGCCTGCAACCCTTTTTGTTCGCTTTTTTTGCCGATGCTTTTTGTTCTCTTTACTCCTGCTGCTCGCAGACATTGTTCAGCAGCCAACTGTAGCGGCAAAGTAACAGACGGGACGGAGCGGAGTCTTGTCTCATGGCACAAATCTACAGCAGAGCGAAATCCAATATAAGCAACTCCTTCAGGAGCGGGGATAGATGGAGCAGGTACAGTGGCACTAGTGGCTGCTGCAGCAGTCGGTTCAATACAGTTGGCAACAACAAGAGCGGCTGCTGGCAGCAGCTGCAGTAGTCGGTGCAGTACAGTTGACAACAGCAGGAGCGGCTGCTGGCAGCTGCTGCAGCAGTAGCAGCTACCTTTGTAGGGAAGACGTTTTCTGCTATTGTCGTGATTTTATTTTATTTACTAGAAACCTTGACGATATTTTGTCCACCAGTGTTTTGTCGGCCCCAAACCTTAACTCAAGGGTGTCGAGGTAGCCTGTAGTGGGTGGGAGGGTAGGCTGCATTTCGCCATTGCTTCTGACTCGAAGCGTTCTGCAGCAACCCCGCAGGTTCGGAACTCAATAAAGGACGTCATGGAGTGTGTATGATTTGATGAAGGCGAGAATTTGGCTTTTTGATGGACAGAGGACACAGCTACGGAGCGGGCACACTGATCCGACAACGCTCCTTCTTCCAGCCACATTACTCAGCTAGCTATTCTTCGAGCGCATCGACGTACAGAACTACCATAAATACTGTAAGCAGGCTGAGACAGAGCACTTTACAGGTGTGGTACGGGCCCAGCGACATATTCTCTAATGAGACAATCGCCATTCCTTCATTGCTAACTTGGTACATTCCGTTGTACAATCCAGGCCAAGGAACTACAGGCGGCCAATGCATGGAGAACTATAAAGATTACGGCACTTCCAGGACGATTGGTCGTATCTTTGAAGTTCCAGCAATGGAGCCTTGTATAGAACTGCAGGACTGGTTGGCCCGGAGGGTCTTCTTGAACCTTTGGCTATTAAGTACATGGTTCTTATTGGTGCATTATCAGTACCTGCGCAGCTTTACGCCTCCATAGGCTTCAGGAAGCTTGTAGTCCAGGAGCTGTGCCGAAGAGCGCAATGCCACGGACAGCACAATTTTGGTGTGAATGAACGGATTTGCGATTTACGGATAAATTAACGATTAGCGAAGGAGTTTGCGTAAGCGAGTGAACTACCAATCAATGCGTTTACTTAGATATGGCGAACTAGTACCATAATTGGGACGAATTATAGGTTTTCTCAACTTATACACTGCAACAATTACTCAACTATAGTCCGAAGTTACAAAAAAATCCAAATATGCAGTACAGGAATAATTCACATTAGCTCGGGTCTAATTGCCACCATTGCCGGCCTTCCCCTATCAGCAACGAAGGGTCCGATAGGAACTGTAAATCTTCTGGTACTCGGTGGACGTGAACACTAAGCTCTAAAAAGGCTAGGAACTCCTCTATTGCCCCATCATCGCGGCAGCTGTGGTATCATGGTTGGCAAGGGTGGCGGCACTCCTACTGCATTGCTGTTGTCGCAATAACATTTCCTTCTGGATGGTGTACAGAAACTGTGCTTGCTTCATACGCTTTTTCAAGGACCTTCGGTAATACTGGCAGCTGTGTAGCAAGCCACGCTGTTGTGGGCATGCAATCCAGCGCTCCCCCATACCCGGGAAAATACCACAGGTCTATCAACTGTACAGGCAGACCCCAATATTATCGGAGGACTACTGCGAGCTATAACAGAGTCAAAATTCTTAGATAAAGAGTTGCGTGAAAGCAACAGATCCTCCTCTTCAGTCCCCAGGCGTCCCGAGCTCAGCGGCCTAAACGCGCGGCTCGAAGAGAGGACGCGGCCTGAGGAGAATTGCAACACTTCTTGCTGCAAGACAGCCCCACATCTTAAGGAAGTCTTGGCTGTGAGGATGAACAATGCAGATAATTGTTGAAAGCTTCTGCTTTCTTCGCAGGGTTGCCTACAGCCAGGCAAGGTTTCGTGTGGCGAGCTCGGTTGCCTAAACAGGACAAACCATTCTGCACAAGTTGTTTTGCAGGAGACGGTTTGTTTGGGTTGCTTATGCCAGTCTTCCTTGGCTGAATTGTTGTGGCTTGCTTTCCCTCCGTCGTGCGGAGCTGCCCAACGGGAGCCCCTGGTGTAGCATGGTCTAGCTGATATTGGCGCATGTACTTCCACTTGCGTGCCTTCTGCCTAGAAGGCTATTATTTTAGTGCACTCAGGAAGTGAGGCTTGGTCGTGTTTGCATGTAATATATACCCGTAGCAGTAGCTGCGTGAAGGTGCGTTGTAACTCAACTAAGACTAGCTTCTATCCCCCAGCTCCAGACTCTGGGCCGCCGTGTGGCGGACGCCTGGAAACCGACGTCGGGGTCATTTGATCTGGTGAAACACGAAACATAAGTACTCCATGAAAGTTCTCTGTACGAGAGCCCCCTACAAGGGCTGTCGCGGGTTGCACAGGAACCAAAGTACTTAAGAATTGACCAAAAGCAGCTTATCCTCCTTTTCAGTACCAAGGTATCCTGGGTACAATTGTCCAAACTCCTGGAACTGCGGGGGGTCGCGGCCCAATATGAGTTGCTACGCACCTTAGTGGAACTCAAGGTGGTAGACAACCCTACATGCAAGCACAAGGAAGCCCCTTGTGTTGCATGCACTAACGTTGTTGAGGATTGCTGAAGAGTTATACTTGCGTATAGACTGCCTACGATGGCAAACTAAAGGTTCGTGCAGCAGCGTGACAGAACCCCGCAGACTCAGCTACACCAGTGGCTCGTTCAACTGGTAGACCCTTGTGTGTCTTGAGAGGAAAGGTGGACGCGATTGTTCGTAGAAATTTTTGCTTATTAGTTTCGTTCTACTGCTTTAGTTTTATTCGCTTCTACACCTGATGCCGTAGGTCTTGCCGCCGTCGGCGGTTTGCTGGTGCAGTTCCTACATGCAGCAGCAGATCCGTCTCCCGCCGCATGCAGGGGAACTCCGTCTCCTCGCACGGCTTTTTTGTGCTTTTCATTTGATCTTCTGGCCTATTTTCAACAATGTTAATGTTAGTCTAGTGCCTAATTTGGCTGGTTTTCCCTCTTTTTCTGCACCCGTTCCGTCCTTGCTGTTGCGTTTTTCCGAAGCGGCTGGTCCCTTACACTCTCTCCGTCTCTCCGGCGCTTTTAGGAACATCTGCAGAGTTTCATTCACTTTCTTTCTTGCAAATGACCCGTCCATTGCACGATATCCCTTCTAGTTAGTAAACCCTTCTGTTTAATAGACAATAGTGCGTCGTCGCCGAGTATGCCGTAGTCCTCGTTTTCGCAGGCGCCGACGTCCCGCCTTTTTCCCGACAACAACGGCAGAAGCACCGAAGAATTCGCAGCAGCAGAAAAGGCCACAGCTGCAGCGGCAGCAAAGACCGCAGCTGCAGCAGTAGCAAGAGCCTTTGAAAGTGCGCGTAGACTTCTGCACACTTGATTCCTGATTTTATTTGAATGGTTGTTCCAAACTCCACCTTTTCACTCGGTGAACATCAAGTATATGATGCGCTGGCCTTCAGCCGGCAGTTTCGAGACCGTATGGGGGCTGAGGCTGAACACACGGGCCTTCCTCCTGTTCCTCCTTCTCCTGCAGCAAGGACGACTAACCAATTTCGTTGAGGGTGTGGGGATTTCTGTATCTCCTGTCCCAGTGGGTGGGAGTGATCGTGACACACAAAATGCGGTGTTTGCCCACCTCGGCGGAGAGGCGCCGATGAGAGACGGGTTGCACTTTCACAACTATGGCAACGAAGATGAATATTATTTGAACTCTTTGTGGCCCTCAAGAGGGCGCAGATGGTTTCGATATGGTAATACAGCAGCGGCAGCAGCTGGAGTCATTGCTGCGTTATTGGCGGTTGTGTTCATGCTGCTGTCTTGCGGAACCTCCATATCCCGTAAGGCTGTTGCCACCCAAATATGGAGAGACCGAAGGCGCCTTGCATCCCGAATGGATGGAGGGCCTTGCGAAAACACTTCAGTGGCAGAACAAAATGCCGCAGAAGCAGAAGATATAGAAGGCGAAGAAGTTTCTAGCATGGCACCAAAATCCACTTCCGTCGATCTGCCTTCCCCTCCATCATCCCCCAGAGGTGTTGTCAATGAAGGCGCAGGGGAAGGGATCGCGGAAGCGGGAGTTGTTAACAAGGCTTCTCATCCCTCGGTGGAAGCATCCGTCTCCCCAGCGAACGCCACGGGGAAGGCAAGAGACCCAGAAGCAGAATCAGAAGCAGCAGAACAAGCAGCAGGGGAAGGAGGGGAAAGTGGGGCAGGACATGAGGGGTCGCCGATCCCTGTGCTGTGGCCCGCGGGGATAGAAACGACAGTAAAGAATGTCCCTTTTTTGGGTTATTATCTGATTCGCCTTCGAGAGCTTGCGGACCACTGCAGGCATTTCTTTAAGCACCTCCCTCCGCTGTATGCGCGGTTGATTGGTTTGCAGCTGCTGCGGTATGCAGTAGTGGAGATAGCAGCAGTCACACCTGTGTGCACATTTGAAGAGGAGGGGCGTCGGGAGGGGGCTATTAGAGCTTTTCAACGTTTCAGTTCGAATTTGAGAGAGCGATTCCACACGAATCCAGACGTGGCTAGTAGCATAGACCGGTTGCGGCATCTTCTGAACGTTCTACTGGAAAGGAATGCATTCCCTCAAGTTGCAATTGTACACAGATCGTTTGTATCTAGACACTGCATTCCTCCAGCAGCAGCAGCACTGCGGTATGTGGCAACTGGTATCAATGACCTGCTACAGAGCCTCGGGAATCAACCACAAACACTTACCGCTGTTATCGCCGCAGAGCAGGATGCCGTTATTTTTTCTGTTCTCGATGAAAGGGTACAGCAGGCGCTCTCAGAAGAGGGTTCGGCATTAGCGCTGCAGCATCTGCAGAGATCCTGCCGCCAGGGAGAGGTGTTCTCTTTTCGGGAGGTCAATCTATCTCGAGCGAAGTACAGGCCGGGGTGTGGCCCGTTCAAGACCGAGCGCGTTGAGAACGCAGCGAAAAAAGCTGCTGCTCGAGTGGCAGCAGCGACGGGAAAAGACAGGCTAACGCTACAGGCAAAAGGAGCAGCAGTAGAAATTCCTACGGCTTCAACAAACTCTGAAGGTATAAATGCTGTTGATGGTGAAGCTATGGAAGATGATCACCGAATATCTAGACGGCTTGCTACCACGAGGTCCGAGCAGCAGCAAAGCGAGCAGGAAATGGCTCCTGCGGTTTCTGCTGCAGAGGGGTCTGAAGCGCCGCCGAAGGCTGCATCGCCCGAACCTCCACAGGATGGGACGTCCGAAGCAGCAAAACAGCCGAATTCGGCAGCAACAGAGGAGCCAGATGCAGCAGAAAAGAAGAAAAGGAGTCTGTTGGGATCCCCACGCTTTGCTTTCCTTTTCCCTCGCTTTCCTCCCTCTTATTTTCTCTCCACACTTGCCCCTGGCGTTTCACCTCGCCCACCTCACTTTCCACTTTTTCCTTATGCACCAACAAGAAATTTCTTGTTCCTCCAGCATCCTCATCAGGTGGGCCGACAGCAGCACCCAGTTTTGCCTTGGGGACCGTTACCGCAGCCGCAGCAGGGAGCTTGGCCTTGGGGGCCTTTTCTGCAGCAGCAGCAGCAAATGGGCTTTTGGGTTGGGGTCCCTAGGCAACAGCAGCGTGCAGCTCCTTTGGAGGTACCACTGCAACCGGAGCAACAGCATCCAAGGACTTGGGGATCGTCGCCGGAAGAGCAGTGGCAGCTTGGGATACCCTGGGGCCCCTTCCATCAACAACAGCAGCAGCATCAAGAGGAACCGTGGGGGCCGCCATTCCAGCAGCAGCAAGGAAACATTTGGGGCCCGCCATCCCAGCAACAACAACGGGGGGAGCTTTGGAGACCCTGGTTGCAGCCTCAGACTATGGAGCCGTGGCTACCTGCTGATGGTTTTATGGGGGGACAGCCGGATCCTGTGGATGCCTTTTTGGCGCCGTTGGATTCCGGTTCAAGGGCCAGCGCTCTTATGACTCCTGAGAGCATCCCTGATGAACATGATTGGCTTCAACGCAGCAACAGTGGCACTGATGGCGACAGTGCAGAGGAGTCTGATTCGCTCGAAGACCCCGATCATAGCGCTCCTGCAATAGCACAGGCAGAAAAGGAAGATCGCAGTGTAAAGCCGAAGCAACACAAGCGGCAAAAAGACCCTCCGAGTGCTACTGGTTTGTTTCAAGGTTCCGATTTCACTTCACCTACAGCACCACCACAGGGAACAGAAGATTATTTGAGCATGCAGCGGCAACAGGAGCAGCTTCTGAGCGCATCTGCTGGTGTATGGGGTTTGAGGGACATCGCAGGCACCAGCCGAGATGCGATTCTTCAAGGGGCCCCAAACTGGCGTTCACTTGCCTCGCAGCGCGATACCTCAGGTGCAGATTCATCGCATGCATCTTCACGGGGATCAGAACATGGCGTTGACTATGCCGGAGCCGTGAGGAGTGGGTTAAAGCGAAAACGGGAGACCTCGCCAGAAGATGACTACGGGAAATGAGTCGCTTCCAAAAGAAAGACGTGCAATTTGGGTTGAGCAAGCGCAGCTGAAGCCTCCGGGTCACCAGCAAGCACATATAGAGTTGGGTGTTGATAGTATATCTGTAGATAGAAAATCGCAGCAGCAAGAAGCGAAGCGGGCAAAGCTCCAAACACACAAAGGACGTGCAAAAACAGCGGCGGTGTCAGGGAGACACTAAGCAAAAGTCAGCTGTTTCTTCGACCCTCCTTGGTTTATTCATGCTAGAGAGGAGGGGTTGCAGTTCCAAAGTATTGTGCATTGTGTTTATTCGTTTCCCTTTTTGCCCCATTTATATATACTTCTCCTTGCAGTTGTCTCCTTTTTTCGCGAATTTGAGATTTTTCGCTATGCAGCAGCCGCTGCAGTAGAGGAGATGAAAGGAACGACATCATTGTGTCAAGAGAGGCAAAGAAACAAACAACACTTGAAGTTTTACTTTCTCGAGAATTCCTCTCACGTGGTCAACGGCAGCAGTTGCTGGTTAAGCAGCTGAAATGCCTGCGAGCTCAGCGGCATGAGTGCTACAGTAGAGTCACCAGTCGCTACACAGGTGTATTTGCTGAAAGTACACCGTTTTTTGTTGCTTTATCTGCTCGTGAAGACACTTGTCCCTGCCTGACCCATAGTATGCACCAGAAGTGCAGGGAGTCTGTGAAGTGAGTGTGGGAGCGTTATGCTGCTGCACTCATAACAACTGCTGGCTTTTAACCGGCTGCGCCTCCCGCCACTCACTGCGAATATACTTGACGAAATGTTTTCTCCACACCCCTAAGTTGGTATGCCCTGCGCAGAGGCAAGAGTCTGTGCATTGGACGGTTTTAACAGCAGAACAACACATACGGGTGGCCAACGCGTAGCACAGCATTTGAGGTGTGCAGGCTTGCCAGCATGGAACCACGATAACGCCTAGTGGATTACAGTGGAGCCTGGAGAGGTGTTTCATGAATAGCGAGCCATTAGCTCTGTCGCGACTGAGCAACTAATGGGGTTGCAGAGGTCATACTTGCTGGGTCTATCCAAGACAACGTTTGTTCTACATGAGTCTCTGAACAAGCCACTATTTAATCTACTGCAGTGCCCATGCAGATCTGTTTGTTGGTATTGAAATTCTGCAGTTGTCTGTGCCGAAAACTGACATGGCTTCTCCATTTGGCACTTCGATAAAGGAAGATGTATTATTCTGGTGCACTGTGCACCGTAGTCCACCGAAAAGGCCTATCCACGACTATGCTTTTGTGTTCGCCTGTCCATTGACCGATGAAGCATGATCGTGCATTTCGTGGAGCGCGCATCTTAAATGCTTTGACTGTGCTGCAGAGCGATGGTTCTGGGCGGAACGAATCTACAATTCTCTGCTAGCTCTGCTGCGAGGCGCAATAGAGCAAGAATACCGGAGATAAGGGTTGTTTGAAAGCAGCTATCACCCCTACCAAGCCTCCAGAAGTCATAAGAGCAGTGGCTTAAACTCCTGGAGTTGCGGGAGAGGAGGCGGCCCGCCGAGAGTTGCAGTGCACTGTGCAGTTCGAGTTCAAGTGGAGGAGATAGACCCCACACACAAACAGGCCTTCCTTTCTGCATGGATGAACACTGTAGACCAATTTAGAAGGCTTGTGTTTGCGTCTATGTCGCCTACTAAGGCCGACTAAGGTTTCACCTGCCAACATTAAACAGTGACGTCATCATCGAACGGACTATTCTACCAGCACAAACGGGCTTTCTTTGTTGCCTTGTTTACACTGTAAATCATTCATGAGGACTCGTACATCGGTTAAATCATCCTAGCACTGCAGAGTAACCGTTCGCGTACCGATTTCAAACAGACTTGCCAACGCCTCGCCGGCTGCGCCACGTGCACGGTCCGTCCTACAACGGTGTTGTAGTTTCCGCCAAACACTACTCCCCATAATGGTGAAACTTTCTGTAATCCGTAGGCATTTCAAACAAAACGATCTCAAGAAGACAGTCTTTTGATGTGTTTCGCTTTGTCTTTCCTGTTTGCATGGTGTCCTTTGCGCTCGCTCTCCTGTGCTGAGCTGGTTTGAGCGGACCTGTGGGGCCTCTGGTATTTCTACTCGATCTTCGCCCTCTCTTTCTGTGTATTTGTAAATATTTAAACGTATACTAAACCCAAAATGATATTTATAGTTTGATATTAGGTTAAGGCGAGTAGGTAAACTGGAATTTGCGCTGGTGTCACACCCCCTCGGGAAGTCCCAGACTCACGCCGATCCCTTGGGCCCTCGAGATACTCAAAAGGTGCATGCCGTTATTTGAAGAACACTTTAGTTGTGTGTTTTGGCTTGAATACTCTTTTATTTTGCTGGTGCATCTTCTGGCGCGCGAGTCGTTGGTGTCTTCATTTGCTGCTGCAGTTAATGCGGCAACCAATACAGATCCGTCTCCTGCTGCCTACTGAATGACACCGTCTCGCCCCTCGACACTCTTTGCTTCTTTCACCCCCTTTGTTCGCCTAGCTTCAACATTGTTGTTTACTTCCACCCGCTGCCTTTGGCCTAACTCCTCTTCTTCTCGCCAGCCGGCCATCCGTTTCCGTTTACTGTCTCCATAACGGCCCTGTCCCCCGTTCCTCTCGCCTCAACCCCTTGCGAGCATTTCAGTTTACATTGCCTTCTTTCTCGTCTACTCAGTCTTTTGATTTCAGCTTCCTTCCTCGGTTTCAGAAAATAATAGTGGCTCTTGCCTCGGGGTGCCCTGCCATTCGTATCCCTCGGCGTCGTAGTACTTCTTCCCTTGGCGGAATCAACAGCATCATCAGCAAAGGCAGCAAGACAATCTGAGTAACACACCAAAACCAACAAGAAGAAACACCAGAAGCAACAACAAAGCCCGCGCCTGAAACAGAAGCAAAGGCTCTTGCAGCGGCCGTTGCATATAGACCTCCGTGCCCCGTCCTTTATTTGAATTGTTTTTATCATCTACTCTGTCTATTTGACGAACAGCAGATGTATGATGCGCTGGCCCCTAGTTGGCTGTTTAGGGAGCCTACGAAGGCTCGCCTTGAGCACGAGGGCCTTTCGGTTGTTGCTGTTGCTGCTGCTGCTGCGGCAAGGGCAGCCAGGTGCCGTTGCCAGCGGGTTGGGGACCTCTACAGCTTCGGCCCAAGTTGCCAAACGCAATTATGGGCTGGTAAACGCGATGAACGCAGGCCTAGACAAAGGAGTTCCAGTGAATGGAGATGACCGGAGCCCTAGTACCAACGGTGAGGTTTCTATGAAGCGTTGGAGGTTTTCAAGCGGACCCCGGCTGCCCCGAAGTGGTGCTGCAGCTGCTGCTTTGGTGGGTATTGTTTTTCTGTTGCTGTCTTGTTGGGTTTCCATCTCCAGTCACAAAGCCGCTTTCACCCAAGCCTGGCGCAGCAGAAGGCGTCTTTCATCTACAGATTATCAAGATCCCTGTGAATACACTGTGTCAGCAGGATCACAAGCAGGCAATGCAGTTACAGCAGATGGATATGGCACATCAACAGCAGCAGAAGAAGCAGATGTAGTTGTAGCAGATGGATATGGCACATCAACAGCAGCAGAAGAAACAGATGTAGTTGCAGCAGATGGATATGGCACATCAACAGCAGCAAAAGAAACAGATGCAGTTGTAGCAGATGGTTATGGCACATCAACAGCAGCAGAAGAAACAGATGCAGTTGCAGCAGATGGATATGGCACATCAACAGCAGCAGAAGAAACAGATGCAGTTGCAGCAGATGGATATGGCACCTCAACAGTAGCAGGAGCAGCTGTACATACAGAAGGCACAACACCAGTAGCAGAAGCAGCAGACAAAGCTGTAGATGAGGAAGGTTCACTAGCACAAGAGACAGTAGGAACGCAGAATGCTTCCTCTTCCACCGAGTTATCTGCTCTCGACCCCCTGGCCCCTCCCTTCACTCCTAAAGGCTTCGTAGGTGAAAACGAGAACGAAGGGGAGAGGACGGCATGGGAAGACCAGGAGACGTCTTCTGATCCACATTTGGAGTCCGCAGCGTCCCCAGCGGAGCCTGGCACGTCGATTGAGGGAGCCCCAGCAGCAGCACAGAGAGCAAGGGTGCGGGGAGAGGCAGTGCAGGTTCCTGTGCTGTGGTCCGCTGGAATGACAAAGGTCGCAGGGTCTAGCCTCTATTTGAGTTCTTATCTGGGTCGCCTTCGAGAACTGGCGGACCACTGCCGGCTTTTCTTTATTCATCTCCCCTTGGATTATGCCCAGCAGATAGTGCAGCTATTGATGAGGCTCGCTGTAGTGGAGGTGGCAGCAGTGACGCCACTGTGCAGCGTTGAAGAAGAGAAGACGCGGCTGGGGACCATCAAAGCGTTTCTTCGTCTTGGTGCAAGCTTGGGTTTTCGTTATCAGACAAGGCCAGAGGTGGCCACTATTGTGGACCGTCTCCTGCTTACTCTCAACCTGCTTCAAAACCGGAATCTCTCCGCTACCCTGGCGGCTCAACGGAAATCGTATGCAAATAAACAAATACTTCCTGCGGCAAGCGCAGGTCTCAGGCATGTGGCCAATGCTGTCAACGCGCTACTGCAGAGCATTGAAGGCCACCAAACTCCTATCCCCACCGCTGTCAGCGACGAACAAACTGCTATTATCTCTGCCGTAGTTGAGGAAAGGCTGCTGCAGGGGCTGTCGGACAAAGGTATTGCGCAGGTGTTGCAGCACCTGCAGGGCCGCTGCTGCCCTGGAGGAATCTTTACCGAAGGCGACATTGCCTATGGTACGGAGAAATATGCTACTGCCAACTCCTCTGTGAGAATTCATTGCGTCGACTCTGCTGTAGAGCGAGCACGGGCTACGGTCAAAGCAGCAATAAAACAAGACTGGCGCGAGCAGCCAGCACCAGGACCAGCAGGATCTCCGGCTACAGCTGAGGGTCAACGACCGACTACTTTCGTCGCCACCGCGGAGGCCGATAAGCAAGACGCTAAGCAACAACCGCAGCAGCCAACTATTCCTGAAAGCTCCGCTGCAGAGGAGGCTGATCCACTGCCGCAGGGTGCAGCCACCGGATCCTTACAAGAAAGGGCAGCAGCGGCCTCGGGACGGCCACAGGCAACAGCCGCAGAAAGGCCATATCCAGAGGCAGCACCAACAAGAGAGCCTGAGGCAGCATCAAAAGGTGATCAAGAGGCAGCACCAACAAACTATTCAGGGGCAGCATTAACAAAAGACCGAGAAGCACAATCAACAGAACTTTCAGACACAGAAGCAACAGTGGAACCAGAGGCACGAGCAACAGAGCAGCTAGAGGCACAAGCAATAGCAGAGCCAGAGGCAAGAGCAGCAAAAGAGCCGGAGGCAGAAGCACAAGAACAGCCAGCGACAGAAGTAACAGAAGAGCCAGGAGCAGCGGCAGCAGAAGGTGCAACGGAAGGGGAACGAGGGAAGAAGAAGAAGCCTTCCCCAGCCTTCGTTCGTCCCCCCTTTCTCCCCTCTTTTTCTTCCCCGATATTCCGAGCTGGGGCTGTTTCTCGCATAAGTCGTTTTCAGCACCCAATTACAACAAGGGCTTTCACCTTCTTCCATCATCATCTCCCGACGGAGCAGCAACAGCAGGAAGTAGAGCATTTGGAGCAGTTACCGAAGCGGCAGCTCAAGCCAATGAGACTTTGGGGGCCATTCCCACTGCCGCAGCAGCAAGAGGAACGTCGGACGCTCTCGCCTGAGCAGTATCATCCAGGGGGACCTAAGGAGCTCTCAGCGGAACCGCAGCACCTGTATGAGGTTGCTGCGGGGTCCATCAGTCAGATGCACGAACGTCAGCGGTTGACTTCGCCCGATCAGGAGCCAGAGGGACATTGGCTGTCCTTATTGCAGCGGGGGGAGCAAAACGAATCTTGGCTGCCCTCTTCGCCGCACTCGCAAGAACGGGAGGAACCTTTGGACCCCTCAACACCGCAGCAGGGGAAGCATTTGGAGCCCTCACCGCCATTACAGGAGCAAGTGCACCTTTGGGGGCCCGCGTCTCCGCAGGACGGGCAAGAAAACCTTTGGGAGCCCTCACCGCAGCTGCAGGAACGAGGGGAATATTCTGGACCCTCATCGCCGATGCAGGAGCAGGAGGCTCTTTGGGGGCCCTCGTCATCGCAGGAGCAAGACGAACTTTGGGGGCACTTGCCGCCGCTGCAGGAGCAAGAAGCACTTTGGGAGGAATCATCATCTCAGGAGGAGCAAGAGGAACGTTGGGGGCTCTCGCAAACGCTGCAGGGGCGAAAGGAATTTTGGGGGCCGTCGCCATCTCAGGAGGAGCAACAGCAAATTTGGAGGTCCTCACCCGCACTGCAGGAGCCAGACAAGCTTTGGGGGCCCTTGTCTCCCCGACAAGAAACGGAGCCTTGGATGCACGTTTCGGCTTTGGGAGGAGATGCGGCGGCTCCTACTCCCTTTTCGTTGCCGCGTCTTAAAGCCTTTGAAGGTGTCACATCCAATGCGACTCCCGCTAACAGCCATGCTAAACTTGACTTGCCTAAAAAAGCGCCAGACGGTAGTGGAAATTACGATGAAGACCATGCGCAGAAGCGTGGTTTGTTTGAAGGCTCTGATTACACCGCGCCAGCGGGAGCAGCAGCACAGGGGCAAGCTAAAGATTTCGGTGCTCATCTGCTGCAACAGCTCCAGCAGCTGGTGCAACAGATGCAACAGATGATCCACCAACAGCAACAAGTGCAGGAGCAGCTACTGGTGCAACAGCAACAGCAGGAACAGCAGCAGCAGCTGGTGAGGTTGCAGCAGCAGCAGCAGCAGTTGGTGCAGCAGCAGCTGGAGCAGCAACAGAAGCGGCAGCAGCAGCTGGTGCAGCAGCAGCTGGAGCAGCAACAGAAACAGCAGCAGCAGTTGGTGCAGAACCAACAGCAGCAGCAAATGGTGCAGCAGCAACTGGAGCAGCAGCAGAAGCAACAACAGCATTTAGTGCAGCAGCAGCAGCAACTGGTGAAGCAGCAACAGCAGCAGCTACTGCAGCAGCAGCTATTGCAGCAGCAGCTACTCCAGCAGAAGCTTGTGCAGCCCCAGCAGCAGCTAGTGAGGCCGCTGCAGCAGCTCGTGCAACAAATGCAGCAACAGCCGCACCAGCAACTGGCGCAGCCGCTGCAGCATCTAGTGCAACAAATGCAGCAGCAGCCACACCAGCAACTGGTGCATCAACAGCAACAGCATCACCAGCAGCTAGTGCAGCCGCTGCAGCAGCTGGTGCAACAAATGCAGCAGCAGAAACCGCAGCAGCAGGAGGAGCCACAACAGCAGCAGGAGCCGCAACAGCAGCAGGAGCCACAACAGCAGCAATTGATGCAGCAGCAGCAGTTGATCCACCAGCCACAGCAGCAGCATCAGTCCCAACAGCTGCAGCCACAGCAGCAGCACCAGCCCCAACAGCAGCAGCATCCACAGCACCAGCCGCCACTGCAACAGCAGTTGATGCAGGAGCCACAGCAACAGCAGTTGGTGCAGGAGCCACAGCAGCAGCAGTTGGAGCAGGAGCCACAGCAGCAGAAGTTGGTGCAGGAGCCACAGCAGCAGCAGTTGGTGCAGGAGCCACAGCCGCAGCAATTGGTGCAGGGGCCAGAACAGCAGCAGTTGGTGCAGCAGCAGCAGCTCGTACACCAGCAGCATCAACAGCTAGTGCAGCAGCAGCACCAACAATTGGTGCAGCAGCAGCAGCAGCAATTGCTGCAGCAGCAGCACCTGATGCAGCAGCAGCAGCTGGTACAGCAGCAGCAGCAGCTGGTACAGCGACAGCAGCAGCTGGCACAGCAGCGGCAGCAACAGCAGCTGGCGCAGCAGCAACAGCTGTTGCAGCAGCGGCAACAGCAGCTGTTGCCGCAGCAGCCGTCGATTCAGCAGCAGCAAGAGGCGCAGGCATTTTTCGGTCTGTTTCAAGGCACTGATTTCACCGCGCCGACAACAGCAAAGGGAGTGACAGATGATCGCGAAGCGTACCTGCAGCAGCAACTACAGCAACAGCTAAAGCTTGGTTCTGTCTGGGGTTTGAGGGATATCGCAAGCTTCAGCCGAGACGAGATTCTTCGGCGGCCTTCAAGCTGGCTCCCACTTGACGCTCAAAACCATGCAGCAGGTGCAAATTCATCTCAAGGACCTCGACATAGTCCCTCGCGGGAAGGTCGTTTTGACGAAGTCACCCAACAGCAACAAAGACGAGTGTAACCGGATGGGCGCGATTGAAGCAAAATTAATCGATTTAAGTGACAGAGCAGGGGGAGATAATCTAAAGCCTCTGCAGACTCAAACCCTCACGCGAGCATATATGAAGACGTATTTTGATAATATTAGCTATGTGGATATATTATTACAACAGCAACAAACGAAACGGGCGTGAAGCCCCACGCACAGCAAAGGCTGGAGAAAACATGCCATTTGACAGCATCGGCTTCAGGGAGGCCTAAAACAACCGGTCAGCTGTCTCTTCGGCCCCCCTTGGTGTATGTGTCCTGGTATCCTGGGCGGGTCGCAGGTCTCAGTGGTACAAAGACTCACATCTGGCGTTTATTTTCTTGCCTTTCTTGTACCATTTGCATATATTCTTCTTTGCAAATAGTTCCGTTTCCGACTGGGTGTTCTCTATGCAGCAACTGATACAGCAATGAAACAGACAAGAGGGGCAACTGCCTATACTATGTCACCAATGGCACACAGCAACAAACATGTGGGCTTGTAGTTTCTCGAGGACACCTCTCACGTCACCAGCAGTTGTGGCTGGTTCAGTAGCTGAAATTCTTACGAGTGCATAAAACAGCAAATACAAGCTTTAATTTCGAGGGCATCCATCTCCCGTGGGCGTCAGGGAGAGTAGCTGCTACAGTAGCAAAAATGCCTGCGGCCTCAGCTGCACCGATAGCAAAAGAGAGACCAGGAGAGTCATCAGCCGCTACAACAACTGCATTTGCTGAAGTTACAGTTTCGGCATGCGTAGTTTCCCTTGGAGACAACCCTCGCCATAAGTTGTCTGTCGTCGGTCCAGCGTAGTCGCTAGATGTCTGGTGAACGTGCTAACTTGGTTTACGAGCCGCAGCTTGCTGCACTGGTGTGTAATTCTAGATTAAACCGGCCCACGGCAAACAGCAGCTGGGTATTACAAGAGACACTGCAGTAATTAAGGCCAGTATTTTAGTGTGAATATTTAGCGGTTTGCGTAGTCGGAGTTGTTTCCAACTGTTACTTCAGTAGTTGAGGGGAGGTGTCAATTGAACGATTCAGGCGGCCTCCAGATCCACGCGGCCACAAATTTCATCTCCGCTTCACACTAAATCAAGGCTCTACCGACAATCGAACTGTACACGGCGCTCCACTTGGCTGGCTGGTCACTTGGCCTTCAAGCCGCATCCACTCACTGGCTACGGCTTCCACGAGTCGACGGTAAAAAAAAAATTGAGGGAAGCATCAGTAATGAGGGGGTACATTTTCCCTGACAGCGAGTGCGTGACTTAGCTAAAATGGGCGGTTATGAGGGGGCAACTTCCGACGGGGGCCACTGACGGGCTTTGTTCTGTATGGGTTGCTCGGTCAGCTTTATTGTTTAAGATGTGCCATGACTGTGAACACCTTCCTTTTGCAAGAATTCGAATTAGCAGAGAAGATGGGGAAACAAATTCGGGTAAGGGAGCACAGTTATAGAGGATATGCAGTAGTTTGCTTTCACCGCCTCTCGTTGGTTCGTGGAAGCTGTTTAAGCCTTAGATATTTGAGTGTTCGCATTAACTACGCTAGGCAGCTGCTCAGAGAGATGAAACACTGAAATTAAAGGATATAATGAGACAGAATATGCATATTTGTTGTTATGTGTTAGGCTGTGTTACCAATGGGAGCGAGTGGGCAACTGGGGTTTCCAGACACCGAAAACGCGCTTCGATTGAAGCCAGTTCCGGTGCAATGTCCATTTGATTTGGCGAGAGAGCTGCAGTACACTAGGGAGTTCCTCAAGATTATTTCGAAGGAGTCGCCAAAATGTTCAAATTAGTTGCGGAAAAGCCCAAGTAAAACAGTTTTTCCCTTGGTTACTGTCGCCCCAGTTGAATTCAGTTCCGGGCTGGGCCAGGCGACCGCGGCCGAGAGATTAACGGCTGTTTGAACCCCACTGATTTCACCCTTCTCTTTCGTTTTGCAGTACACATATAGTCATCAAATGGGGTTGATTTACAGAGGCGAATTCAAACTATTTCCTCCCTGGCCCACGTCTGCCTCCGCCGCCAATTTGTGCAGAGCTGCTGCCTGTGCCGGTGGATACTCATATAATAATCCAGTGTTTACTCTCTCCCTAAGTCATATTCACTCCCCAGTTTCATTTATCGTCGAAGACCAGAGGAATACTTAGAGGCAGAGGGCTTTACACAAAGCAATGTCTGTGTGAAGGTCGTAACTGGATGCCTACTCCAGGTTGCCACCAGCGGCAGCAGGGAAACCATCGCGTTCACTCCAGCTAGGCCATTGGTTATAAGCATTTTCTAATTCTCTAGTCGCTGATTTCTTATTTTGCGACTCTGTCTGCGGCGCCATAGGACGCGGGAGGTGACCACACTACACCTCGCCGGTTCTCCGTGGCTTGCGCGCAACTGCTTGCGAGTATATATTTACAATGGGATGTTGTAGCGTTTGGGCCCAGTTATCGCTCTTACAGTATGGTCTTTAGAAGCCTCTCCTGGGACGCAGGGGCCCTGGAGGGTCGGAGGGCCGAGGAGATATCTGATCCCACGGTCATCGGGGTCTCCTTCTCTTCAGAGAGCATGTTTTGCTGCAGCGTACCTGAGACAACTGCCGGGGCGAATAGCTGTTCTTTATATAGGGCTCCTTCTGTCTCCATGTGCACCGCACTGACTACGCCTGGGAGCACATCCCTGTCCTCTGAATTCACCAGATCCTGGAGCGGCTGCACCTTCAGCAACTACGGCAACAGCAGCAATTGCGATACTTCCAGCAACACTAAAACCACCGCCTCCTACAGCTACAGCATCAACGGTAGCACCGCCGATAGAGGTTGCGCCAACAGCAGCAGCGCCAGCAGCTGCAGCAAAGAGGAGAGCAAGGGAAGAGTGGCAGTGCTGCGTCTCGCCTTCTTTTGTTTAGGCGTATCTTGCGGGCTCCCTTGGAACTGCGTTGTTGTGGAGATGACGGAATTTCAGCGTTTCTACCTTCCTACGTTCCCTTGGGTCTCTACTGCCACAGAAGTGAGACAGCTGCCTTCCTTCGCCGTGCTGCTAATGCACAAACGTATTGCAATGTTATCTCCCCTGCACTAACGGCCAGCTTGGCAGGTATCCCAGTTAGATGTGTATGTAGCCACTTACCTAGTCGCGTGGCCAGCCATCTTGATACACATGTAGTTACCTAACTAGTTAGGTAGCGTCGTCTTAGAGTGCCGTACGAGCATCACAAGAATGCCCGGACGAGAGGTAAAGATTAACTTGCACGTCCCTGTTCTTCCCTTCTGTTGCACTCTGTGCTTTCACCTATTCTCATTTTATGCTTCATGCAGCACATCTGTGTCATATTTGTTTGTCTATTGCATGCCTTCGTCCATCGCTCTCGATACTTCTACTTTTTCTGCCAGCCCAACCGTCTCAGTTATTGACAGTTTTGCTCAGAAAAGGACCGGCGGAACAAAGAAGGCCAATACATACCGATATAATGTGCAGCAAACAACCAAAAATTGCCAGTATTTCCCTCTGTGTTTTGTCTTTTAGGTGCGGGCCTGCTGTTCGTTGTTGGGCCATTTGCTGCTCTGTCTTCTGTCACTCCGACACTCCGCTGTTTGGCTGTCTGCCGGTGGAAGTGTTTTATCTGCAACCTGTTGTTTGCTGCTTTCTTTCGCTGCCCCTTCAGCTGTTCCTGCAGAGGGTATGGGGAACCTTCAAGAGCCCTTGGGAACCCCGTCTTCCCCTTCTTCCGAGGGCATGGCGTTTGCATGTAGTTGCATTTTGTTGGGGATTTCGAGCTTTTGCTGCTGCGGCATCCGATCCGGGCTTTACATACAGCAAGCGCTGACTCACAAGTCCTTTATTTCGTCTTGGGTTGTAGGACTTGCCATAGGAGGCCCTTTGACTGCCCTCTTTGCTCTTGGGCTGCACTGGTGCACGCAGGCACTGCCGCCGCAGTGTAGGACGCAGATCTTGATGGGAGCATCTGCCGTTTGGCTGCTGTTTTCAGCTGCAGTTTTCGCCTACGCCCTCGCCAAACCGAACTCAAGTGGAAAACAAATGCCACCACAGCAACAAAGCAAGGAACAGCATCAGCAGCAGCAGCTTCCTGTCGCAACAGCAGCAGCCCCAGGAGCAGCGAAACAACAAGAGGGGCCACAGAACTGCCAGCTGCCAGAAGACGGCTGCGGTGAAGGTGCAAAGGGTCTCAACAATTCCTCGTCCACGGGCGAGACAACTGCATTGTTGAGCGACTTCCGAAGCCACGGTAAAAACAGCAGCAGCAGCAGATGGAAGATTCCTGAATTTGCAGCTGGGGCTCCGGATGTTCGGTCGGCGATATTGCAGCGGTTTGGGGTGTACGCGGTCCTCTTTCGTCGTTACCGACGTAGCTTATTATGTACCTTTTTCTTGTCATTTTCTACTTTTATTGTATATCCCGTAAAGATGCAATGCATGTTCCCCTGCAGCAAAACAGACCCTGCATTCTTTCAATTGTTGCTGATAGTCATTTACCATTTGGGAGTAGTCGCAGGCCGTTGTTGCTACTGCTGCTTCTGCTCCGCTTCCTCCAGCCACAGGGTGATACCTGCAGTGTTGCTGCTACGCCTGGCTGTGCTGCCGCTTTTGTTTTGGCTGGAAGCAGCCCCAGCAAAGCTCCTACCGGTTCTGCGAGCTGCAATAGCAGCAACTGCAACACCGGGAATAACAGGATTAAGAGGAGCGGCGGGAGTAGCTCGTGTTGAATCACCGTTGCAGCACGAGCATGTGGCAACAGCTGCCACACTTGCTGTTGGTGAGCAGAAGTATCACGAGGAGCTGTTGTTGATGCTGGTAGACGTGTGTCGGTGCCACTTGTTGCTTATATTTGCTGCTGTCCACGGCTGTCTGTCATTAGCAGGAACCCTCTACACCACGCGCACTCCAGAGACATACACGCACAAAGCAGCAGCAGCTCGCCTGTTGTGCCTCTTCGAAAGCAGCGGCCTGGCGTTAGGCACAGCGTTATCCCTAGCGATTTCACGTCCAATCGCCCCTCTCTACGGCTGGCAGCACACCGCTGCAACGACATTAAGTCATCTCACGTGAATGCGGCAGCGGCTGGGGAAACGACCTCAGTCAGTGCAGATGCACCCGCGGCAGCAGTGTATGCAGTAGCAGTGTCAATATCTAGCACATGCACCAACAACAGTGTAGCAGAAACCCGCAGCCAACGATACTTGCTGGTGAGTGAGCATACTTGGTTTCCTAGTGTGGTGTTATATCACCAAGGTTATTACAGCGGAGAGAACTCATCTGTAGTTTTTCCTAACCGTCTGTGTGGACATTTCGTTTCAATTGTGGCCTCTAGAGTTAATTATGATGTCATCAAGACAAAGGAAAAAGGGTATCGTTTGCCGTCATTTTTCTGTGGGCCAAAGGACATGCATGCAGTTCTAGGGCGACGAAAGGAACAATGTTTATTGTGGCCTTGTTTCGTCTTTTTCTGAAACTGTCTCAGTAGCTATGTCTATAATTGCTTTTATTTTGCTTTTTGTTATCTCGTTTTTGTCCACTCGTGCTACGTTTCCGGTCGGTTTGTTTGGCGGTCTCAAGGCTGCCTTCAAACTCCCGGATTTTTTTGCTTGTACGCCAAGTAGTCGTTCTGTACAAGCAAGCAGGCAAATGAACAACAAACACATGGGTAAACGGACATGCAAATGCACAGGCAGACAGGCAGATCGCCGATGAAACAGAAAACACCCTCAAAATGCAAACGAGCAACGCAAACAATGCCAGCAAACGAAAAAGTAAAATTAAAGCAGCAAAACACAGGGCAAGCATTACAAACAAAACCCTGCGAAGAACCGATATTCACTAGCACTACAGCCAGCAGTAAATGCCGCACCATCAGCATCACCAGCAGCGGTAGCGCACAAGCGGCAAGCAGCAGCAGTCCAAGCAGAGGCAACACTATCGGCAGCGATGCACGAAGCACTAGTGCAGCAGTTTATAGCAGCGGTGACCGCAGGCGCGGCATCAGAAGGGTAATGTAACTTTGTTTACCTTGAGGCAAGGGCTCTCCAGTATATCTCTCGCCGTGGGTCTCATTGCTGGGTCTTTGCTCAGCATTTTGTCGCATATTATCCGCAGTTCGGCAGAGTAGCGGTCGGGGATTTTGGGGGCCTAAAACGGAAAGCCACCACAAATAGTATCCATTCTTCATGGCGCATTTTCGCTTAATCTCTTAATGTGGCTTTCTCTGTCCGCTGTTGGGAGTGTGTGGGAGTGTATGCTGCTCATTCGTAACGCGAGATTGGGGTTTGTGGAAAACAAACACAATGCACAACAAATCACACTCCAGGAAGGAAAAGGGCATTTATCTGGGCAGATGAGAGTTTCTCAGCAACCAGAACTCAATTACGGCTGCCAAAGAAGTAACACACAACGCGTAGGAAGCACAGCACAAAGTAGCGATGACTCCTCTGTTGAAGCGGCAACAGCTAAGCAACGAGAGGTCGATGTCTAGATGTGGAGGCAAAACAACAGAAACGCAGGTGGCTAAAGAAACAGCACGATGTGCTGGGGGTTGGCGTCTTCCACATTATGCTTGTCTGGCTTCCATGTTGAGCTTTGTCAATATCCCTTCTTGTGTTTCTGCTTCCTTCTTTCTCTGCTGTTTTCGATCGTCCCTGCCTCTGTCTGCGACTCTCTCTCTCTGCATCGACTCATTGGTTAGTTGAGAAAGGGGAACGGCGGATTAGCAAACATATGCAAAACAAGGAAGCGCATAATGCCAAATCTTACAGGTGCATTGCAGATATTCCTGTTGAGTTCAGGGAAACTCAGACCCCTGAAAGGCAATTCGAAAGTAGCCGCTTCTATCATTATACATCCCAACGCCCAAATATCTGCTGCCGATGAATATGGCTTCCCCTGGCGTATATGCGCACAGAAGCTACAAGGGCAGGAGCATTAGCCGCCGCAGCAACAGCAGGGGGCCTAAAGCGGGAGCACCTGGGCAGGCAACAACCGCAGCAATTGGAACAGCAGCAGCATTAGCCGCAACCGACGCAACACCAGTAACAGGCCACGCACCTTGCACAATTCAGGTGCCATGAAGGCTGGAGTCCCACACTGTGTTTTTGCCTGCTGCAGCGTAAACTCCAATATTTTCGACAATCCCAAGTCTCCAACTCGGATGTAGTTACTTTCGTCCAAAAATACGTTGGCAGGCTTTAGGTCTGCAAGGAGCAATCCGAGAGACAAGCATGCAAGAAGTATTAATCAGAGGCAAAGGGCAGGGACACTGAAATGAGCGAAGTGACGAACTCCCATCCGCCGGAGCGGGCTCACACTTAGATGAGGAAAGAGAAAGACAAGAGCCACGACAGAAAAGGAGACAAACAGAGACAAGGTACAGAAGCCCCAAAAGGCAATCAAATCGGAACAATTACCTCTGTGCAGTATTTTGTGCTTGTGCATATACTCAAGAGCAATCGACAGCTGCAACAGCCAGGTCCGAAGGGTAACTTCACTGAAGTATTTGCGCTGCCGCTTCCTTTCCCGAATAAGCTTGCCCATGTCTCCGCCTTCAAACGCACAGCAAGTCCAGTCCAACCCCTAAGCAGCGCATCTCAAGCACTAGACAATCGACAGAACAGTGCACTGTAGTTCAGTGCACACCCAAATCCTGAACTCCAAAGCTAGTTTACCCTCGCAGAAGTCCATAACGATGCACAGATGAGGATATCCGTGGTAAGTATCGTTGAATGCATTCCTGTAGTGAACAATGAAGGGAGCATCAACCAATTTAGACAAAACCTAAACGACATGAAGAAAAACAAACAGGCGAATGCTCCACACAGTACACAGCAATGAAGTTGATTGCGTTAACATTGTGGCAAAACCCTGAAGTGGTGAGGGACCGGCCAGGCAAACGATGGACAAAGACACCCGAGTTCAATTGCCGTGTCGATTGTCATATTTGCAACAATATCTTCAGTTGTAAGACTCCCCATCTCCCCTGCTTGAGTCTTTTTCCCGACGCTTATGCTCGTTTGGCTTTATTCGTGTGTGTGTGTGTGTGTGTGTGTGTGTGTGTGTGTGTGTGTGTGTGTGTAACTCCGCCAGCATTAGTCGTTCTATACTTGTGTCTGTTTGTGGCGAGCATACAGAAAAACAAAAATGAACCGACAAAAACGACAAGTGATGGAAGAACCGAGCAAACAGATTCAGAGTTGCCTCTCCTGCCAGTTCCTATGCCCTCATCTACCAGGATTTCAGAGACTTGGACGGAGATAACGGTACCTGTATCTCTCTCTTGGCCTCCTCGATGTCTTCTTTGTTCATTTGCCGGGTATTGATGAGCTTCATAATCAGCCTGCCATGATGAATACACGCAAATGCGGTGTGTGGAGCTGTCAACGTATGATCAACAGCCAAGCGCAAAAAACAGTAAACTCACTTTCGCCCAGCTTTGTCTCTCACCAAGACTGCCTTGCCAAAAGAGCCGCTACCGACGACCGACACGATTTCGTATTCGCCGACCCTTTCCATCTCCAGAATTGCCTGCAGTAGGTAAAGAACTGCTCGTGCACTGGTCAAGGGAAATATATTTGCTGTATTTTCGGTGTTCTCCAGGTTCTAAAGGCGCTGATGTGCCTTATTGTATACTCTTGAATTAATGAGAACACTCTGGCATATATAATCGAGTGTTTCCAAGGAAACATTTGCTTCGTCAGCTGTTTGCCTTGGGATTGCTGTGTGTGTCTGTATGCGCGTGTATGCTGTGTCTAAGAATGTCGTTCCTAGAGGCACTCAGGCGTTTCATAATGTGCACTTTTGCCATATTAACCTATAATACAGATGTGGGGGGCACGAGCGAACTATTGCTGGGAACGGACGGTCTGCTGGAAACGACGGAGAGAGGCAGGGTGGAAAGAATTCTGGAAGATGAAACACCCACTCTAAAGGAACAATTAGGTCCCAAACAAATGAGTAAATCCCCTTTTCAGTGAAATTTGGCCTGCTTCTTCCACCAAGTCAACTGTTCGAAAAAGTCCGCTTACTGTCCTGACCGGACCTGCCGGGTTGTGGGGTGAGAAGACACACCGTACAGAAATACTATTCTTGAACTGTTGAAGATGAAGAGTGAACCTGTTTGTATTCTTATTAGCAATTGTGGCACTACTTTGCTTCTGCAAATCCTAAGCTCGCACACCTGAGCACTCCCTGCACGTGCAGATGGACGCAGCCACTGGCGCGAGCGTGTCCGTAACCCCCTTCGGCAGCGTCTATCTCATGGGTTCATATTCAATTTTCGTTGGAAACAAACATTCAGAAACGCTAACGCAAAGCGCCAAATTATCTGTATTTTGTTTCCTATTAACCCGTACACCCTAAACCCTAAACACTAAACCCTCTAGCTCCAACCCATCGTCGAGAATCCCTCATTGAACAATGGACGACAAGCGACAAGCCAGCCAATGGGTGCCCTCAAAAACTGCATCTCCCCTACCCTAAAGCGAATTGTCTAAATGAATAAGCTAGTACTGAGCTACTTTCCTAAACATAGCGGACGAAAACTGGGGTTACGGCGCGTAAATGCTCCGTTCATCAGCTAAACAACTAGGGCGTCACCAAGCCCAGTCTTGCTGAAGACTTGTACGACTGAAAGCTCTAAATCAGGACCTCTTTCGAGTTTTTATGAGGGTCTCTCTCATCTCTACTTCCAGCTGAAAACAATTTTTGTCGGTTCTAACTCGAAAAAGACACTCCGGGACAAAAAGACACTCCGGGCATAGCAAGCGCCTGGAAGTTGCCACCGCTTGGCAGCCGACAGAATTGTCCTCCTACTTTCACTTTCCCCGCCTTTGGAGAAAGAAGCAGCAGGAGACCCTTTCAAACCAAAAGCACCGCATTGATGCAACCGTCTAGCTCGGGGTTGTTAGTGACTTGTGCATACTTCGCTGCGCAGATGCACAAAGCAGGGAAACCACGATGGAAATGTGAGTCATGGAGAGCATACATATGATAACTATGTTTCTAGCTATACGTTATTGGTAATATTGAGTACAATAATTGAGTACACCACAATTTGCAAAGCAAAACAAGAAGGGTAGCAAAGAAAACAAGGATTCTCACCCCAAACCACTTTCCCGGTCTGCGTCACCAATCCCAACTCGCTGACGTTAACCTCTATGATGGTACCTGCACACGCACCGCAGGCATTCAACACTGCATCCACCCTATTCAGCACCCACAAAAAACACCAAGGGTGCCAAATAACAAGTGAGTGCAGCCAGGTGAAATAGGAAAGGAAAAGGCAATTCAGGGAGGACTGTCAAAATTATCATACAACGTTCATAAAAGCCGAAGTCACACAAAAGCACCCTGTGCGAAATCAGACCAAACGCCGGCCATTAGTTTCAGCATAAATACGTGGCAATACGACACGAATATGCTCCCATACCTTTGGTGATAACTCCCAGGGATGTGTAGAGCTGAGACTGCGGGTTTTTCTTGACCTTTACGATATCTAATTGAAATGTCGCCTTCAGTTCCGGATGCGTCACATGCGCCTTTTTGAATCGTAAACTCGTTGGGCGAATATATCGCTCAAACTTCGGCGGTTTCCGCGTGAAGTCGTCTCCCACGAAACACACCTTGTTTACCACGCGCTTCCACATCTTCTCTGCAGAGATATGCAAAAACCAAATAAGCGAATTCCACTGAATTGCATGCACAATATGATACCTGCAGCACATGTTGCGTCGTCAAGGCGCCTTTAGATTTGAGTGTAGAGGCCGAAAAAGACTGCAACTCTAGTAAACTTCGTAACGGGCGTGCTTCCGTTTGTATTTGCATCTGTGGCTGCTGTCCATGCTTGCATGAGTATCTGGGTTCTTTATTACACTAAATTTCGTATCAGACGAAAATTCGTGGTTTTTCCTTACTCTTCCTCTTGCCCGATCTGAGTACTTTAAACATTTCTTCCTCTGTCATGGCCTTGACCTTGGGGATGGGCACCTGCCACTTCCCGGCCTTTTCTTTTCTCTTTTGTTTAATCATATTTGTTAGGATTTTAGTTCTCGAAACACCTTCTCTGTCCAACAAATACGAGGGCACTGCCCCCTCAGGCACAGTTTCCGGCTCCTTTTGCTTGCCTTCCTTCTCCTCATGTTGTTTTATGGTTTTTTTCATCTGTGCTTTTTCGACGAAGCGCCTCCTGTTGAATAGCTTTGCTTTTATTCCCCGCAGTTTACGCGCTGTCTTTGATCGTTCGTGGGGCATACGTGCTGCTTTCTTGCGCCTGCTCACACGCAGCAGTGGCAAAAATATAAACGTGTCTGTAGGCGAAACCGCAAGTTCGGCTGTGTAAGACTCAGTACACAATATAAGCATTGCATTATACATGCGCATACTACAACCGAGAAACTCGCCGTTGTCGACAAAAGAAATGAAAAACAAACAAAGTGAATGATGGCATATTTACAGGCCAATGCTTCGCCTCCGCCAAGCATATTATTTAGCTCGTCGTGCTTGATAAATTCATGACTACTAGTATTATTACTATGGGTGTGTTTTCCTTTATCTTAATGGTGTCGTTAGGCTCACTTGCGCTCAGCGGTGTCCAGGCGCTCGCCGAAGCGCTTGCGGTGTTGCTCCATATACTCGTTCTGCGGCATTTTCGCGAATTTGTTTCAAGGTCAATTTGGGGAAACCCTTTGGATGTTTGAAAAAGGGAAAAATGTAGGAAGAAGAAGCTGCCAATTAGCTCACGCCCACGTCCTAACCCAAAAAATGAACAAAAGGCGAGGATGAGGGGAAAGCGCCTCACGCCAGGGACCCAATAAGCTTATATCGTAGAACAAATCGAAGTGACAAAGTTTACAGCGGAATATTTTGAAAGTAGTTATCTATACCGACTCCTCTAAGCCCAGTGTGGCCCTCTACATGCCTGGGAGTGGAGTGGTGAGAACCCGACCACATATGCAGGAAAAGAAGTACAACATTTGCAAGTCTCCACCTCCACTCAAAGGATTACTTCACGCATGAAGGTGGAATTTCAAAAATCCGAAGCAGAAGGCAAAGTACTGCCAGAACTTGTACAATAAAACCGAACGCGCATGCACCGAAGTCCCAGAAGCCAGGGGCCACACGAAGGGAGGGCGGAGGAAATGAAAACCCATGTCCACCTTTTAATAGATAATTAAACAAACTGCTGCATTAAAAAGGCGTTAACTTTATATTTAACGTATTGAAGACCTCTTCTAAGCATACTAGGTAGGTGGGCAAGGTGGTATTGGGAGAGACGGGGACCCTACCTCGCCTGGCCAGACCATCGTGATCTGCAAGATAAGTTCACAAAAGCAGTGGATAGACTCATCTTCTCTTTCCAGGTGCACTGAGCACAACAACTGGGGCTCCTTGGGAGAGAAGGCACAATATTTGTGCCCGGCAAGAGGTGATATATACTCTCTGGCTATTGTCTGCTGCGACAGTACGTGTACCACTAGGGGTATTGCGCATGCTTGCCCCTGTGGTTACCCTGCAGTACGAGGGGAAGTAATGAGCGTCCCAACTCGGGACACGCCTGGTACCATCGGTCCGACAACCCCTGGCCTTCGTACCGACGCGCTTAGGACACCTGGAGGCCTGCATCTTATTTGTGGAAACCCCACCTGATATCGGGTAGTCTCGTTGCGAAAAAGCAGAGGCAGAATTGAACTCCCTAATGGGAAGCGATTTGTAGAGTGCTATAGTGGGTAGAACACGTCCCTAGTGAGCATGTAACCGAAGCTGTAATTCCCAAGAACAGACTGCTACTAGTGCTACTTTTTTTAGGTGGAAGTTAAGTGTTCGGCAAAGAGGCAGGGTATGCCTACCACAGCTAAACATTTCCTAATCAGTCAGGTGTGCAGCTTGCGTCTTCCCGTTCATCTTGTGGTGCTACAAAGCGCCACGATTTCTAGGCGACACCCTAGAAACGCCGAGGGCTGCACCAGAGCCAAACCACTTAAAATAACCGTTTCCCAATGTGCACCTGCCCCTCCCGTCTTGCCTCAAATAGCCCCGAGCTTAGCTGCAGAGGCCTTGGGGACTGGCAGGGGGAGAAGGCCTTTTCGTGAACTGCAGGACTTTGTGTTGCAACTCCGGAGCCCAGGTAACCGCAGATGCAGGACCACTCCGACGCACGCACGAGTGCAGTAAACGTTAGTAACCACTTCCTCTCCACCCAGGATCCAACATACACGCAAATACAGGTGAACGCATCTCCTGATATCCTGTGTTGTACAGCAGTTGCATTAACTTGCACACGACAGCCGATACCGGCGGTGCAGCTTGGGAGGGGAACATAAACAGATCGGACCGGAACAATAACATGATGGACGCAACTATGGCTACAAAGTCCTTCCTACTCAGTATGTGTTCCTCCACGTGTATGTGCTGTATGCTAACTCGTGACGATCGCGACCACTTGAGCTGACGGAAGACAACAGGCCACTCGTTTGCCTTTACAAAAATTACTAGGAACAAACAAAAGAAATGAAGTGACAAATAAATTGGGGCAGCATTTCCTGTCTTCGGAAGCACTTCACGCGTGTTCCTTCTGCGCTCCTGCTGTTCGTGGGCAACTGTAAACGCATGAAACTCAACAATACTAATATATTCACCTCTCAGAGCATAATGTGTAGAGTTCACATGCATCTACTGTTTTTGAGCATGCACCCACGCGGGCAGCCCCAAGGGCAGCCCCGTAATGCCGCCGGAGGAGAACACGGAATGGGTAGAGAACCAAAACATCTTCGGACCCATAAAACCTAAAACGAAACCCATAATTTGCAGGTTAATCATCAAGTGCGATGTGCGTGAGGTTAACACACAACGGATTTGCGCAGGCCATCGTAAACGCCTTCTTGGGTTTCTCCTGCAACTCGTTGAAACTCTCCTCATCTGCAAAGAGAAACAAAGTGCAACCGTTGTGGTAATGCGCGCCTCTACTATCGTGTGTATCTTTTGTGCGGTACGTGAATATGCGCTGCTGGTGTGCTGGGTTGTATTGATAATCACCAAAGCATTGACATTAAATGACAGCCGGATTTGTACGAGGTACCCAAGAACACTGACAGCTGAACCCGCGGCAAACAATGAGTAGATCAACAAGCATGGAAAACGTGATAGCAAGGCACTGACTACAGCAGTTGCTGTAGCTCAAAAGGGAAAAACAGGCACAATTACACAGAAGGAATACGTAGATCTGGAGGAGCAAATGCCTTCGATATATCACTGAGATGCTGGCATGCTGGCGACCCAAAACCGTGAAAATCAGGCTTGCAAGTTTACCTGCATAGAGGAAAACGAGGGTGCGGTTCACGTAAGTCTGGGACTCCTGAGTTTCTCCAGGCTTCACCATCCGAATGACAGGCAAGTTGTCGTCTTCCGACAAATCCCCGTACCAAACGACACACTGTTTGTCGTCTCCCAAAACGGGATCGTAGCCTCTGTGCACCCCGCGAGCGATTTTTTCTGTTTTGCACAAACAACACCCGGTAACATGGGAACAGTGTTCACCACTTGGACTCCACATGAAGCTGTGGTCCCATTCGAAGGCCCAATGTGCGAAAAATCACGAGCAAATGAGCAAATGATATGCAAACACGGCAACCAGATGAAAACAGCTGCATGTACAACTGTTAGTCCGTCTCCAAGGATTTAGCGTTTTTGCTTTCTCCTGTACTACCCTGAATCCATGCAGTTGCAGCAAGTGTCTACGCAAATACATATCTATCCTGCCTGCTCTGTCTCAGCACTCACGCAAAATTTCGATTCTGGCTTCACTAGTTTGCCAGAACTCTCTCGCCCTGGGGTGTACGTAATGCTCCCACGCCCTGCAAAGCGCTTCCACCTCTTCTGGACTCCGCGGCTCAAACGTCTCTTGAGACGCATATCGATCGGTATACGCACTGTCTCCCTGCACCAAATTTCGTCAAGGAACAAGGGGGACCACGAAATGCGCATAAACATAAAACGGTACAAACAATAAAACAAGTGACACACGAAACACAGCAAGTCACACACCACAAATGCTGTTGGGGGGCGCAGCAGAAGGAAGGCACCCAACGATACAGCTGGGCATAGTCACACAGAAGGCAACGCCACCCATTGAAGTCATTTGCTCCTGAGCTACCGTGTGTACTTCGAGAATAATGGACAAAGTGCAATCAGGCGTCCTTCTAACACGGCAGTGAATGCTTGTGTCATGCCGCCATTCAGAAGAAAAAAACTTTCACACGAAACCGTAGTGCAATGGACGTCGTTCTCTTATAGTCCATTTACCTCTGAGTTAGAATGAGAAGAGCTCTCCTGGGCCTGTGAACTTGCCCTCTTTTTCTTTTTCCGTCTGTCTTCCTCGGCGCTTCCAAAGCCAAAGAGGGCCGCGAAGGGCGTGTTGCTGCAAGCCCTGCAGCCCCACATTTCTGCTCCTGGTAGTGTTCTGTTCCGTCTGCTTGTTTATTTCGCTTGTCTTGCAGGGCTACCCAAAGCTGAGGCCCTCGCACCCTACCCACGCAGACCACGCACAATGCTTCAGCGGGCGGAGAACACAACCTACGAGCAGAAGGAAACGCCGCCTGTCCTTCCAACTGACCTCCTCAACACATTATAAACCTTTAAAACAAAGAAAATACTCAAAAGAACACTCACAAAACAAACGTTATCTAGACAGGCCGACACAAAGACCCACATGCAGCAGCAGCGGTAGCAGCAGCGGCAGATGCTGCTACTGCTACTGTCGCAACTGCAGCATGGGCCGTTCTTGAAGGTGTTCATATCTCTGTTTAATTTTCACATCGCTAAATAACCGCTTTCTTCCACTATAGCTTTTGGAACATTGAAAACTACAGTGCCTGCTAAAAGACACACGCGCAGCCCCGCAAGAGCCTTCGCTGGTGGTAAAGGCGAGAATACGAACAGAGAACAGCTTGCGAAACTAATTAAAGAGTTTCCGCAAATTTATAGCAGTAGCCAATCAGCGTAAGAGAGCAACTCATCTTGATACCATCAGCTCCCTCAGCTTGTCCTGGTGGTTGCCCTGTTGCCCTCTAGCGGTGGGTGTGTTTGCGTACCAGTGATTTCGTCTGCTCATTCTGCGCACGATCTAGAAAACATATTGGTACAGAATTTATGTCGAAGCCAAGTGCTTGACGTCCGACAACTCGTCCTTGCATTTGCTCCCTTGTAACTAGTCTGACGGTCCCAACCGCCAATTAATTGTGCTGGTGGCATGTGCCTCCAGCACAATAGGGCTCGTAGATTTCTCCCTTCCTTCGCCCCCCCTGATTGGTGGGAATGTATTGCAATGCTGCAAAGTCCTATGTGTACCTCCATAAGTCTTTTTTACGCAGTTGTCATGCTGCTTTGGTTTCGCTGCGTGTGTGTAGCAACAACTGGGAAAAGTACCTTGAGCATAAAATAAGTGAAACGAATTCGTTTAATGTAGTGTGCTAATAGAGATAAGGTGGGGAGCAAACGCAGCAAGCTTGCTGTGAGAACTGCCGCCACATACTCGTGAACAACGAGCTTGAACAGCAGTTTGATAAGGCTTCATGAATTCAGCACTAATCGCACAGGTACGCATTTATGTTGGCTGTTTTCCCTGTCGTGCGTTCAAAGAAGACCGAAATCTGTTCCACTTTGCTCCGTTTCTCCTCAGCTAATTTTTCTTCTTCGTCCTGCAGATAAGCACAATTAGAATGCCTACATTTCCATTGAAACGGGAGAGATAAATGATAAATAACCTTCAATGTTTGGTTCAGCATTGCAGTGTACTGGCTCCGACACTCCACCCGTATTTGTGCGCATGCCGCCTCATATTTGGTTTGCAGTTCCTGCGGAAGGAAGGGAAGAAATTATTGGCAGCGAAAATAAATAACCTATATACTTGAATGTACTGTGTTTGCAACGCACCTCTCGGAGTCGTGAAAGCTCAGTTTCCGATTCGTTATCGTTCCTGTTTCGTTTTGGAGTCGAATACCCTCAATGCTCGCATAAGTGTGCAGAGCTCACGTATTTTCATCTTTATGGCTTTCAGCGAGTTTTGCCTGTAACTCCTCGATATTCTGCTCAACCAGTATACAGTAAGGGCGAAATATCTTGGAATGGTGCTCAGTGGAGGAAGATTCTACCCTATGAATTGCGGCGTGTTCTTGTTCTAGGGTCCCCGCCTCAAGGTTTTGCTGTGACGTCTTTGCGTATAGCTGTTCCAGAAGTGCCTCGTCCTTCTCCATGTTGGACACCCTTTCTTCTACTTGCTTCTAAAGACAGCATAGACAAAATACAGAATTTAATCATCTAAACCTTTTGTTTTCGTGTATCTCCCCCTCACCGTAAGCGCTCCTTGGGCATGGCGGATGTCATGGAGGCGCACATCGGCGATATCGGCCTGAGATAATTCCCTTTAAGTCCGTGAAACCGCAAAAGCAGAAGGTGCATACATCACAGCAAAAGTGGAAAGTACATTCTTAAGCTGCAGGTCGACGCGGCTGCGCGAAAGAACAAGTGTGCTGCTTATTTCCTTCTGCTCCGTTAAGATTGCATCGAGCGCTCCAAGTAGACCCTTGAGTTCCTCTCCCTGTGGCATTCAAACATAATTTCGTGGTTTTCCTCGGCCAATAAACTAACGATACTTTTATTCGTCACTGCATCTCCAATTTGACTGCGAATCTCACCACTTCAGTGGCCTCATCCGCCTCCTTTTCTGCTGTTTGCAAGACTTCAAGACTGCTGCTCAAAACTGTTTTCTCGCGTTCGCAGAGCGCGTCCATTTCAGTTTGTTCCATGCGGGCCACTTCCTTAAGAGGAATAAAATAGGCGAGAAGACAAGTCGATTTTAGCGCATAGTTTAGATTATGAATGGGGAAACTCTGCGTACTAGCATCCCACAAAGACCATTTAGCTGCTTTTCCTCTGTGAGCAAAGTTTCAGTCACACTAGCAGCCTTCTGTTGAGCGGCTCGAAACTCCACGGTGCATTTCCCTCTATTCTTTAATTCTAAGAACACTTCTCCTTCGTGTTTTAACATAGCTGTAGCCTTCAATTTATTTTGAGCGAGTTCCGTGTCCCTGAAATGCCGAACAACGAGAAAAACATGATGGGCAGAATGCAGAACATCAAATGGGACGGCAAATGCATAGCACGCACTGCTTTCGCAACTCCTTCATCCGCTCCATAGTGGAATACATTTCTTCTGTTGCCTTACGCATTTCCTCTGTCAGCAAGTCCGACTTCCTCTGTTGATCCTCCCTAGCGCGCTTTTTGTCATCGGAAAGCGTGGAGCTTTTCATTTGCTTTTCTTCCATCTCCCTCTGCTTATTGTTGTTAAAAGCACGATAGAAGAGTAGCATTAAAGCGCCAAAAATAGGCAAGCTTCGCTTGCCTGTTGTTGCTGGGCGCCTTTTACTTCTGCTGCCACCGCATTCTGAACGCGAGTCACCTCTGCCTGCAGTTCATAATTTGAAGTGGACGAGGAAGAAGAGGCATCGCTTTGGGATGTTACGACAATTGTCAAATGGAAAGTGGCGAAGCACCTCAAGGGCAGCTTTCCGTTGACAGAGCTGCGTGTGTTCGTCTCGAAGCTGTTTCATTCTCTACGACCGGTCCCTTCAATTCAGCAGCATGCACCGAGTGACACAGTAGATAATAGTAATTACGGCTTTCATTTGTTCTTCTTCTTCCCTGCAGCGCCCGATCAACTCAAGGTGCTGCCCATTGTTTTTTTTGCTTTGTTCGTATTCCATTCTTATGCATCCTAGCCAAAGGTTGAGCAATACAGATTAAAGATGCAGCTACACGAAATGCAATATAAACACCTCACCAAAATCTTCCTGGCAGCTCCGTAAGACGGGAGTGAGCTCCTCTCTTGTCCTATCCAGAACCTCCAGTGCACTTCGCAGCGTCTGCAGCTCTGTCTTCAGAGAGCGGGTCTGATCCTCTCCACCAATTATAGTGCGCAGCAGCGCCTCGACCGAGGTCCTGCATGGAAGCGATATGAACGATGCTAATTAATTTAAAAGGAAACAAAGCACACATCCGCTTGTGGGCTTCTTCCTGCACTTGGCAAAACGACAAGTGGCGCCTTCGCAGTTCTTCAAATGCTGAAATGGAAACAGGAATTGGTGGTCAAAACACTTTCAGGTCCGTTTGCCGATAACTGGTGGTGCGTGTTGCCCCCACCTTCGGTGCTTTTGTCAATGAGTTGAAGCGATGTATCCAGTTGTTGTGACAGAGCATAATTAGTTTCGTGCAAGTGCGCCGTTGCAACTTCAATCTTCTCTATGCTACCAGTAGCACGCAAAAAAGAAGTCTCTGCTGCTGCAACGCTTCCCTTGAGGTGCAAAACTTCCTTTTCAATCAAAGTCTCGAGCGTTCTGTTCTCTTCAGACTCTGACTGGGCTCTGAACGGAGAGGATGCATACTCTCCCGACATACGCAAGTAAATATACGTAAGCAGTATATGTACCGTACTTGGCTGCATTATGCGCATCGGCTTTCAGTGCTTTGCCAATATCGTTGCGCAACTTTCCACAAAGTTCTATCTCCTCAGAGAGGTCTAGCGAACCCCGCCTATCGTCCATTGGTGCAAGAAAAAAAGAACTAGAAAACGCTGCCAACCCCCTTTATTAGTCTCAGATGCAAGAATATACTATTTGTGAGCAATGGACGTCAGGCAATACCGTCTCTGAATATACTTCCCAATTGCAAAACCCAACAAAGATGGTAATTGAACCTGCCTGGGCTGTCCATACACCCTGTGAGCGTTCAAGCTTCAGTCAGCAGCTGTTTTTACGGCCATATGCTCGACTACGGATAAGACAGTTCCTGCACGCATGCATGCTCCTGCAATAACCTTAAAGCCTATAGCTTCGTTCTCAATGAGCAGGTTTTATTGATACTGAGCGAATGCAGCTGCACCAATAGCAGCATCAGCTGCAGCGGCAACGCAACGCTTAGAGACGCTTCGAGTCGCTCCCAGAAGATAACTTGAGGGGCCTGTGGGAGGCTCTTCCAGGCGAGTCGCGGCGCGAAGGCCTCTTAGCTGAGGGTCTGCCCCCACCTCTTCCCCCATCGGCCTCCCCTCTATCCCGTGCGGAGTCGAAAGATGGATTGCTATCTGGGTACCGCCTCCTTTCCCTGTCTCTGAATGACCCAGAATGGGATTCGTACCTGTCCCGATGACCAAACCGCTCCCACTTGCTTTCGCGTGAGGAAGATGAATAGTGCAGTGGGCTGTCTCGGTAATCCGCGCGTCGTGGACTTAAAGGGTCGCGGCCTTCCTCCCGCCCTCCTCGATGTCCATCTGGCAGCAAAAAGAACAAACACAAACAATTTGCCATTGAAAACCATAGGGTGACAAGCACATAATTCAACGCGCTCTACTACTTCGAGGCAGAAATGCAAATGCCTCGTCAATCCTGCTGGCCCAAGAAAGCAAAACATCGAAAACAGCGAATGTCTACCAGCATGAACATGCACCGATACAAGCGCCATACACATTGCCTCAGACGCCACGCTAGACAGCAACACGACTGGATTCATGGCTGCATTTGTGCATGTGTGCAATACTGGAGGGCAGAGCATGCAAGAACACGCATACTCTCGTGCTTCGTACTTCGGTAGTTGTCAGTGGCCCTCATCCTGTGGCGAGTTTCCCGTGATTCGTGCAGAGAATCCCGAGGAACCCTCTCCTCTTTAGAGGGCCGTCTGTCAGCGGAGGTACCCTCCCGCAGCTCACGACGGTGGCTGCTGAATCCCTCACGACTGCCCCCTGCGGCGGAAGGACGCGCTTCCGGGACTGCTCACCAACCGCAAACACGCAAGAGGCACAACACGAACTCTAAGCTGCATATACAGCTGGCGCTCCAAGCTGTGCGTACACTGCGTATGGTGCAGACAAAATAAATACTGCCGCCAATAAAAATGCTTTTCCTCTCTACTCACCGTCTGTTTGCCGCTGTTGTGGCACATCGTTCCCTCCCCTTGTGTCTGTTTCTCTTGTAGGTGCGTTGCTTTCTTTAGCATCTTGCAGCTTGTCTTTATCAACGGAATCAAGCTGCATATCCTCCTCTTCAGTCTTGTCTGTCGTGGCTTGTGCTGCGCTGCTCGAATTTGTTCCTCCTGTCGTTGTCCCCGCGGCTGTTGATGCTACTGTCGCCCCGACTGCTTCTGCTGCTGGTGCATTATCGGCTCCAGCAGCAGCTGCAGGTGGCGCGGTTGAAGTAAGGGAGTTGTCTTCCCCTGTCTCCACCTTCGCATCTGTCGCGGTTTCCTGTTTGGCCGGTGGGGGGGTCCTTGTCTCCGCCAGTTTCGTGTACTTAGGAGGAGCTCTCTTGTACAATGAAAGAATGCGGGTGCACACCTTCAGAACATCCTCCCACGTAACGTCAAACAGTTCATACCACCCCGTTTCCTTCGCCAAATGAATATTGAGGTCACACGCAGCCAAAAATATACTCCCCACTGCCACCACTGCCGGCTGAACTTCACAGCACAACGTTGTCCGCATGCTGCAGAAAGAACAAACCACAAGACCCATATCAGTGCAACAAAAAACCTAAACGCACTGAACACGATGCCCTTAAATAACGGCAACTGCTTCTTCACACCAGCACCAGCGGCTGCAACTACTAACCTGTCGTTTAGGTAGCCCCATGCGATCTGCGAAAGCCTGTTTGTGGGGATATAGTCCCCTTTACACAGTGCATGGATGTACTGCAGGATGTAGCGGTGGGGGTGCACGAGGGTTTGGGATACCATGAACCCTAATTCCCTCAAGATATATCGCTCGCAACGAAACGTCTCCGCTCTTATCATTTCAAACTCCTGCAATAACGACCCAAGCAAAAACCCATGCAATCGATGCCACCAGCACGACATACCGACAGCGCCAGGCTGCAAATTCAACTACCAAACGAGCAGCAACAGCGGTGGTAAGGGAAGCAACAGCCACAATAGCAGTCACACGCTTAACAGCAACAGCAAAACAAGCAAACATAATAACCAGGATGAATAGAAAAAACATCAGGAGAGTGGGGCCAGCAGCAGCAGAAGCGGTTGATGCGGCAGAAGCAGCAACAGCCTTTGGTGTACCGGAGAGTCATGGTCAATAAGAAACTGGTCAATGTTGTCTTGTGTGATTTGAGTATTCGCATCTTCTGCCTTCGCCAGGAGTTGCACGATATCAATTAAACTTCTCACGCGTCGCGGGTCCTCTTCCAATTTGCAGGCGAGCAGCAGAGATGAAGTGGCCACCAGCTGCAGCATATACAACAACACACAGAATGGCAGACAGCAGGTTCCAGAATAAGTACAAAAGACAATGCTGGGGAAGCACTACAGCCATAAGGCGTCACGCGCAAAACACCAGAACCCAAAACTACTAACTACACCCCAGTCCCTGTGGTGCGAGACGGAACGCGCCAGACACGCCAGTAGCATCACAACACCATAAGGGCCCCCAAATGCACTAGCTGCTCTGACTCTATGGCCTGCAGCGTCACGCATCAGAAGCAGCAGTTGCAGCATCATGAGTCCAACAACCCTACTGACCCTGACGTCGAATTTTTTCAGACTCTTCCTGTAGTAGAAGCGATGTAGAATGGTTTGTGCGCTGGCCACTGTGACCGCTTCAAGACGCAGCAGAACCCCTGCCCTTTGGATGAGGTGACAGCCGTAAATGCGTTGAGATATTTCCAACTCCCGAGACAAACCATCGCGCATCGAGGGAGTTCGCTGCTGAAGCTTCCGAGGGACCAACACAATTTGCGTAGCCATTCTTGCAAAAATCACTGCAGCAGCATCAGAAACGGCTGTAACCGCCGCAGAGTCAGGACTCCCCGCTGCAACACGAGCACCTTCTGCAGCACCGTAAGATACAGCAGCAGGAGCAGCAGCCGCTGCAGCAGCAGCAGTTGGTGCTCCTTCCAGGAGCACCAACGACTCCCTGTAGACGCCCTTAGCTAGTAGAGGAGGCAAAAACAGTAATACTTCAAATAAAGACTAAGAAAGACAAATGTACAAGGTCGACGACGTTGGAAAAGGCGCCGGGGCGGGCGGGGGCAGAAACCTGCTACAGCCGGGAGCTCCAAGTTGGCGGAAAGAGGGAAAACTGCTGAATTTTCTCTAGATAAGGAACAGAGTACAAATGCACTGGATAGAGAGAGAACAAGAATGTAAAGATCCGCTTGTCCACACTGAATGGGGGCAAGCAAAACGCCAAGAATGTGAAGTATTAGTACTCCCCAACTTCGTTTGCATGACCTAGAGAGTTGAATTGGGGTTAAATGTTTGTTAAGAAACGAGTATCCTGACACTCATAACTAATTGCCTCATCGCTCGCGAGCTACGCAGGCATGCCGTGCATGCACGCATGCAGCTTCCCACGCAAAGGGGCTTCCTTTGGGCCAAATCCACAAACGGAGAAGTTAGATATAATGCCTGCCTACAAATGGGACGGTTGTATTGCAGGGAGTCCTGAATTACTGTTGAAACTTCTACTGCTTCTGCTGCTGCCACAGCCCCAGCAATTGCAACGACGCTGCCGTCAGGGTGATTCCCACCGGTTCAAAGTGACTTGGTTCATTTCTCATTATTTCTTGCACTCTTTTCGCTGGATAGAACCTTAGATGCCCCATTTGAGGCCCATTGTAGAGCCGGTGCTAGAGTTACCATCCTCCAGTCCTGGTTTATAACCTCAAAGTTGCTGTCTTTTTTCGGTAAACGGCAGGAGCATTTTGATGATGGTTCGTGGAACCATTATTTTAGAAGACCACCATTAATAATATGTTTGCATTTCCTAGTTGAATCCAACACATTGACCCAATACCGAACCGCAGAAAGCCCTGCACAACAAGCTCCTTCGATAGCCCGCCCACCTGTGCAATTCCCAGGACGAGTGAACCAACAAAGGCCAAGGACGCCCGTTTGAAAGTAACAGTCGAGTCACGTCTTTCATGGTGTTCAGCAGGGTGTTCCTGCGTCTTCCTCATGAACTGTTGCGCTGCGGCGAACTGTGTGGGTACATCAGAGGTTGCGGGCGTACGAAGCTGGCTTCCGAGAGCCATGTTTCACTTCAGGTCGACCATCAGTGTATGCGTGTAGACTAGATAATCTGGACACCGAAGGGTGAAAGGGCGCGCAGCTGTATCATCAGCACATTCCACATAAGGGGCAAAAATTTTGCCGGTTTGAATATTTCTGCTGAGTAGAGAGTCGCATATATTGAGCCCGCTTGCGGTTGGTGGGGCAGTTCTGACCTTTTAGCAAGGGATTGTTCGTTGTGGCCAATATGCTACTTCATGACGTTTGCGCCAGAAGGCTCAACGGAACTTCCGATCACAGTGAGGTGGTTTTCGGAAGACGGCAAGGCTGGCAGAGTCGACTAATGGATATTTGTGCCTAATCCCTGCAACTAGCTACATTTCAGTATCTCTGCATTAAATATTAGTTCCTAATGTCTTCACTTTATGATTCCAAGCTGTAGTCATGGCTCTGGTACTTGTTCCTCGCGGACCACTGCACAATACGATTGATTCAAAGTGAAGGCATAATCCAAAGTCGTTCAATCCCGGTCCTGAACTACAGCCAGCAACAGCAAGGCACGCTGTCACTGCTGCAGGATGGAAGATGCTCGCATACACCGGTTGTCTAGCAAGAATGCGACACCACGCAACGCAAGCATGTGATCCACTCACTCAGAGATACACCCGTGGACTGGAGTCTAAAATACCGTTTTCTGACGAATACGAATACGCAGTACTAATGGCTCTACAGAGCGTAGTACCATACGTCTTAAGTTAAACATACTTCTGAAACCCAAGCAAGAGTAACCAAACCATCGGCCTTAAATCTTTTCATGTTGAACGTGCATCCTGGCAACCTTAGAGCCTTGCTCGTCTTCATGTTCTTCATTTAGGACTGCATTCAGCAAAGTTATACGTATTGTCAAGCGCCCATCCTGCTAATTCGGACGATAGCCGGGGGCCTCCCAAGCAAAACCTGAGGGCTTGACATGCCCCAATCTCTTCCGGCATTGTGACAAGCTTGAACCAAGGCGACGCTGGAATTTGCCCCTGCAACTGCGACGCTCCAGTCGACATACTTACTAAACGAAGCAGAATGCAAAAACCATGCATTGGGAGTCGAAGCATGCAGTGACAAAATAGTGGGAGCCCTTCAGAGGGAGGGATGCCAAGCAAAGGCGCAGATATGCTCTTGCTAGAATGTGGAAATAAGTGAACATTCACAGTTTATGGTAGATTCTACATATATATACGCAGTGCATATATACAAGCGTAGGATATATTACTAATAAGATGCTCCCGTAAGTGTCGAAGCACCAGGATTCCTTTGCCAACTATTTTCAACCTGTTTTGTGGGAAGGGGCATCGGGGACCAACTCACAATAAACCTAGGACAACAAGCTTCTGGTGGAACTTCCACCTGAGGTGGCAGTCTTCGTTGCCTCCACCGAAATCCTTTTGACTCGCGCCATCTTGGGAAGGGGCTGTTCTCAGCAAAGGTGAACATACTAGAATAGCAGCAAAAGATGGTGAGGCAGTTAAATAGGAAACCCACGCTAACAGCACTCACCTCACGCTACTTCTAGCACTTACTCCGTGACAAGCCGACACCACTTGTTCATGCAGGTAATAATCGCACAAATGCAATCTTTTTGCTGCTTCCATGCAACGTACTCCAAACAGCTGCTGCAACAACAGTGTGAAACAGGTGCGTGTATGATGCTGAACAGCTCGTGACGCAGCTAACATCCCACGAAGACGCCTTCAGATATGTTGCACCAACCGTTGGCAGTATACTGCCTGGAAACTGTAACTATGGCCCTTCATCCAAAAGCTCTGGAGTGCTAGGGGGCCCAAGATGATGCTTTGAAAAGCGTAGGACGTTTTTGCGGCACTGGATGGCATGCGCAATAAACGATGCGGACCCCTCCATGGTTATATAACAGCTACTTATCCGCTTTGGCCACCGAGGCGACGTGCTGCTCTTTGTGTACCGCTTTGCAAGCTATGCCAGTTGCAAACTTGCATTTTGTTGTCCTCCACCACAGAAGCGAAGTCGGTCGAGCATCGGTTTAAGTTCCCTAGAAATACGCACAAGAAGGCCTGGGCAGTCCATTTCCACGTTTACCGCACCAAAGGTACTGCCTGTAGGCCCGCCAGGCTCTAGAACACTGATATTTTGAAGCTACCAATGTTGACGAAACTTGGAGGAGAGAGCGAAGCTGCTTTTGGAAAATTGTTGTCGAGGGCTGCACGTCCGGAAGAGGAGACATGGACATGGAGAGGCTTCCGGCGAATAGCACGTCGGTGCATTGTCCAGCATTGCAGTCTGAAGTAAGCCGCAGCCTATGAAAAGGAGGGAAGTGGCACAGAACGGTTTGCAAGTTCGACGCACATGATCAACTGCACACTTCCCGCTGCTCAGCACCAAGAGACGCTAAGCCCATACTGTTTCTTATTACATAAACCTATTCCAAACATAACAATTTAGATACATCCACTTAGTCCACAGTATAACTGTCTGTCAGTGATTGACACGCCAATTGAAGCATTTGTTGATAGCCACCAGACTCTTCTCGCAAAAACAGCAGCTACTTGCTTATGAAGTTTCTCGAATAAACGCATGCCACAGTACCCGATAGGCCCTTATAATGTCTGTTTTCCCTCCACTACAAAAGTGAAGTCTGCCAAGCACAGGTTTACGTTCCCTAGAAGTATGCACTGGAACAGTTGGGCAATCCATTTTCACTTTCATTGCACTAATCGTACTTGCTGTAGGCTCGGACGAATGTCCAATACTTCTCTCGTGCACCTACACATGTTGATAAAAGCTGGAGGAAAGAGCGAATTTGCTTGTGGACATATCCAAGAGCAGGCATCCTTGACCAGTGTTGCACTTCACTTGAGCGAGCTTCAAGAAAGGCTTCCGGCGAACAGCGCTTCGGTACTTCGCGCTCCTGGACATTACTCAGCGCTGCACTCTGAAGAGACGCACATCCTAAGAAACAGAGGAAGTGGCACAGAACGGTTTGCGTGTTCAACCCATACGATCAACTGCACACTTCTCGCTGCTCAGCTCCCAGACAAGCGACGCATATACTGCTTCATATTGCTCCCAACTATGTCAAACTAACAATTTAGATACATCCACTTTGTCCACAGTACAACTGCCTGCCAGTGATTGACACGGCAATTGAACCATTGGTTGGAGGCCCCCAGACTCTTGGCCTTCTCGCAAAAACAGCAGCTACTTGCTTATGAAGTGCCTTGACCCATCGCAAGCCACAGCGCACCACAGGCCCTAAGCACATACTGGGCAGACTCAAGCAAACTTTCGCAGGCACACCAGTAACATACACCGAATAAACCGCATCAAGGAGCACTGAGCATGCATCTTTGGCATAGCTCGAGCTGCACCTCCATCTGCATGGCTCACTTTCTGGATTACATAAGACCCTCAGCAGCCTGTGCAGCGCACTGTGACCATCAGTCTGACAACGGCTGCCCCTCTCAACAGTTTGCGAAGATCGCTGTGATTCAAAGCAACCGCACCCCTCTACTGGGGCTACAAAAGCTAGAGCCCATTCCCATATTTCCGAGGCCTGCAAATCCTACTGCATTGCACGCAGAGTGGCTACATTGGCTATGCATAATTAGATAGAGGCTGCACGGTGAGTATACAGCCAATGTAGCCTGTCTAGCCACCGTAGATTTGGAGTTTGGCATTGTTTAGTATTGAGCAGCGCATAACCA